TGATCATTGTACCATAGATTTGTCCAATACACTGTTGAGGAAACCCACGGCATCAACCTCAGCAGCTATATGTTTATCTGTGTTAACATCAGCAGACCATTCCAGCGAAACACAATGCTCTGGTTAAAAATAGCAACCCTGCTCATTGGCTGTACCAGCCATACTTGTCTGCATGACTTTTATCTTGACTTATGACACCTTTCTGCAATATGTAGGCCAAATTCAAATGAGTTGTTACAGTAAATAGGGTAATACTGCATCAGCAACGCAGACAACGAGTACAACACTCTTGTTTACCCAGAGTGGTCCGATAGATTAAAAGGAGAAATGCAAGACATGGTTGGCACAAAGCCAAACAAATCTGATCCTCAAGGGTGAGATCTGACTCTTGTCATCTGAAGCTAAGTTATTAAACTGAAGCTGTAGTGAGTAAAGAGCCATTGCAAGAAGAGACGCCTAACATGACACCGATAATAAGAAGGCATCGCGTCGCTCAGATCTATTTATGAACTGAAAGTGTGAGCAGGACACACAGTTGAGTCTAAGTGTAAAACATGAAATACAGTGCCCTCCAAAAGTATTGGAACAGTCAGTCCAATTCGTTTACTTTTGTTGTAGACTGAAAACATTTGGGTTTGACATCAAAAGATGAATATGAGACAAGAGATCAACATTTCAGCTTTTATTTCCAGGTATTTACATCTGGATCTGATACACAACTTAGAAGATAGCATTATTTGTAATGGAACACAAAATTTTTAGGTGAGCAAAAGTATTGGAACATATAAACTTAAAATAGATTAAAGTGAATGAGACTTAATATTTAGTTGCAAATCCTTTGCTTTCAATAACTACATCAAGCCTGTGACCCATTGACATCACCAAACTTTTGCATTCTTCTTTTGTGATGCTTTTCTAGGCTTTCACCACAGCCTCTTTCAGTTGTTGTTTGTTTTGGGGGGTTACTCCCTTCAGTCTCCTCTTCAGCAGGTAAAATGCATGCTCTATTGGGTTTAAGTCTGGAGACTGACTTGGCCAGTCTAAAACCTTCCACTTCTTGCCCCTGATGAACTCCTCTGTTGTTTTGGCAGTGTGTTTTGGGTCGTTATCTTGCTGCATGATGAAGGATCTCCCAATCAGTTTGGTTGGATCTTTCTTTAAATTAGCAGACAAAATGTTTCTGTAGACTTCTGAGTTCATTTTGCTGCTGCCATCATGTGTTACATCATCAATGAAGATGAAAGAGTCCGTCCCAGAAGAAGCCATGCAAGCCCAAGCCATGACATTACCTCCACCGTGTTTCACAGATGAGCTTGTATGTTTGGGATCATGAGCAGATCCTTTCTTTCTCCAAACTTTCGCCTTACCATCACTTTGGAAAAAGTTAATCTTTGTCTCATCAGTCCATAAAACTTTTTCCCAGAATTTTTGAGGCTCATCTCTGTACCTTTTGGCAAATTCCAGCCTGGCCTTCCTATTCTTCTTGCTAATGAGTGGTTTGCATCTTCTGGTGTAGCCTCTGTACTTTTGTTCATGAAGTCTTCTGCGAACAGTAGATTGTGATACCTTCACTCCTGCCCTCTGGAGGTTGTTGCTGATGTCACTAACAGTTGTTTTAGGGTCTTTCTTTACAGCTCTCACAATGTTTCTGTCATCAACTGCTGATGTTTTCCTTGGTGTACCTGTTCGACGTCTGTTGCTTAGTACACCAGTGGTTTTTTTCTTCTTCAGGACATTCCAAATGGTTGTACTGGCTATGGCCAATGTTTGTGCAATGGCTCTGATTGATTGTCCATCTTCTCTCAGATTCACAATTGCTTCTTTTTCACCCATAGACAGCTCTCTGGTTTTCATGTTGGTTTCACCTCTAAATGCAGTCTGCACAGGCAAAACCTATCGTACCCAATCTGAAACTGAGCTCAGACATCCAGTGCTATTTATTGTTTGAATAATCAATGTAATTGGAAGACACCTGGGCAACAAAACACACCTGTCAGTCACATGTTCCAATACTTTTGCTGTCATGAAAAATGGGTGGGTTCAAACAAAAGGTGCTATCTTCTAAGTTGTGTATCAGATCCAGATGTAAATACCTGGAAATAAAAGCTGAAACGTTGATCTCTTGTCCCATATTCATCTTTTGATGTCAAACCCAAATATTTTCAGTCTACAACAAAAATAAAGGAATTGGCCTCACTGCTCCAATACTTTTGGAGGGCACTGTATGTTTAATCTAGTCTTTCATTTACTGCCGTCATGTTTGCCAGCAGACTTAATTACATGCTAGTGCTGTTTGTTTGTATGTTATTTTTCCCACTCAAAGTTCCATGGCAGCTACAGTATGATTTGATTTAAAGACTGACACCTATTGGCAAAGAAGTATAGTAATCATGAAGGTACTATTGTCACAATTTTGGAAGGGAGCATGTAGTTGTTATACTTAAATCATTGTTCTTAAGTGGAAAAAAGCTACATGAGACATGTCATGGCAGCACATAGCTTGAGTGCCATGGCAAGAGATTCACCTGAACCATGTATAGCTTGTGTACTATTAGTGGACAGCTGAGCATGGGTGTCATTTACAGTAACACCAAGTCGGTGTTAACTCATCACTGTGGCCCTTAGCGTGTTTCGTGCCATGTGTTTACGTATAGGATATTTGAGGCTGATACTGATATTGTTGTTTGATCTTGATACAGCTCCCTTATATTTGTTCTTTTAAGACTTGTGCCCAAGATATGTATTAAACTTAACATTTTACAGCTGAAAAATAAAAGTCAACTCAGGTCAAGTTAATTTTATTTATACAGTCCAATATCACAAATGACAAATTTGCCTCAAGGGCTTTAGGACCTGTACAGTTTACATCACCCTCTGTTGTTAGACCATTTGAATATGTAAAAACTCCCCCAAAAATCCCTTTGACAGGGGAAAAACGTTTCCATGACAGGGACAGCTTGTTTCTATAATATGACCTCAAACCCAGTCTGGCATTTCCTGTTCTGCACTTTCTGGCTACTTATTGGCTGACATATACACCAATACCTTTTCAGTAAGCTAATATACATGTATATATATATTAGGGCTGCCACTAACAATTATTTTCATTGTCGACTAATCTGTCGATTATTTCTTTGATTAGTCGACTAATCATTTCATCGAAAAATGTGTTAAAATGTTGAAAAATGTCGGTCTGTCTCACCCAAACCCCAAAATCACGTCATCTAATGTGTTGTTTCATACTCACGCCAAAGGGTTTTAGTTCACTGTCACGGGAGAGTGTGTAAAGCTGCAAATATCTGAAAGTAAGAAGCTGATTTAAGAGTATTTTGGGGTACTTTTATAGTACTTTTCTATGAAAAATGACTGAAACCGATTAGTCGACTACTAAAATAGTCACCGATTATTTTAATAGTCGATTAGTCAACGATTAGTCAACTAATCGTGGCAGCCCTAATATATATATATATGTCAGATATTAACTCTCTTAACATGGGTTTGAAAACTTTATCAGCTAAAAGTGAGACATTTTAGTAAATTGTAGGCCACTCATATTCCAAAGCTGGTCTTACACCAAATGAGTAGTCAAGCAATTTCAATGTCTAACAGAAATTTATAATGTTAGAATAAAATCTTGAAAGTTTCACCTCAGTTGTGGTGATCATAAAACTCAGTCAACTCAGTTCAATGATGTCATCAACTAGCCTAATAGCTGCACCTCCCAGCACCAAACAAGAAGCAGCAAACCATGAAACATGGAGAGAGCTCTGAGGACTCTTGGACTGTGGAAAAGGAGGAGAAACTGGTGGAATTGTGGAGTTAACAAGAATTGGCGTTTGATTCAGCATGTATCTGATCCAACAACCGACACTTGTTTTAGTGAGAAATCTTCATTTTTAAAAGGGTTTGCATCACATTGTCACTGTCTTTTCGTGCTAAATTAGAGCGGCTAACCAATGGAGGCTGGTAACGATACACAAATACAGTTTATCTTTATGGATAATATTGATGCCAAATTGACAAGAATTCTGTCAACATATGGCATATGATCTTGTATTTCTAGAGTTATGTGGTTGTGCAGACAGGTAAGAAATTGTTAATATGCCTCGTTGTATGGTATAACATTTTCCATCAGGAGCAGGATGGGAAATTATCTCATAAGGAATCTGATTGTAGTCTTGCCAATAGTGACCCTGCAGAAACTCCAGTCTTTGCAAAATCTAATAGCCTGTGACTAAAAACTCACATTGGCTTTAGATGTTAGAGGGTGCCAGACTTAAGTCTTTTAAAAGTCTTCCTGTAGGTGTAAGTGTACAAACACCATGTCAGTCAGTATCTATCTATGTCAGACAAAGTTGTCACTGAATAAATGGGCCAACAGCTTGCTATGTTGCTATGTTGCAGTTTGGTACAAAAAGTGTCATTGCGGTGCTCTTATAGTGAGAATACTAAGTTCAAAGTCTTCCTTCATTCCAGAGAATTTGTTATATAAGAATTTAAGAGCTTTATCCTCCAAAAAGAACAAAAACAGCTCAAGAAGAACAATGGCTAATGTGTGCTTGCTGGCCGAGCAGAATTAATCCACAGAATAGCAGCATCCTATTGGGTGGTTAAGGTTGTTAGAAGGGAGGTGTAGTAATCAGATTAATGACAACGTCATTTAATCAAGTTCTGTGCTGGTTACTTACAACATTGCAGTTGTTCCTTTTCACTAGACTTTTAGTTCTGCCTGCATTTGGTGTGCTTCGTCTGATGAATATGTTCTTTGAATATCAGGATACATGATGTTTTTGGATCCAGTCTTTGTGTTACTATTTGCAGGATCTTACATCTCTTAAGACTACACCGCTTGACCAAAACTTATTCCTCTATTGCAATGCACCCCTCTGAGATGGATTAAACTCCCCTGGAACTGCTTTTTTCTACTTAGTTGTCGCACAAAAACCGTGACCATGTTGCGCAGGAGAAGTGAGTTTTTTGTTTTCCTGGACAATGTTCGTTCTGTTAAATCGGAAATGGAGGAGCAAAAGGAGGAATGCCAGCTGAGCCCTGAGGAAGAGTATCTGCAGGTGCTACTGCAGATGAAGATGACAAGTGCTGTAAGTGAGCAGAGATGTAAAATTGCTGAACAAATCTTTCCATTCAAACACAGTGTCATCAAGCAACAAAGGCTGTGTGCCAGTCATAGAATGTCTGTGGTGTGTATACCATTGTCACAGTGCTTTGTAAAGCATTCGTTAGACACAAGCTCATAAGACTTTTACAAGACAAATGCCTAAATGAGTCCTGCAGTTTCTTTTTGAGTCCATGAATGAGTTGACCACCCTTCCAGTTACTATGACTCACAAGTGAGACACAGCAATTTCCTGTTGTTTAACTGCCACAATAAGGACTAGTACTTCTTACAGAGCGAACCGACTACTCATACAGAATACGGCTAAGTGACTTGGACAGAGGTAGAGGGATTAAATAGCAATGGGGGTCGCTCACAGACAGGCACAGAGAAGAAATGCTTTATGAGCAAAGAAGCATGTTACACGTGTGTGCATATGCCAACACACATTCTTAAGTTTCAGACCGGCAGAGGCGTTGTTTCTATAAATATGTACATGGCATGCAAACAAGAGCTCTTACACGTAAGGTCACCCACTGCCCCAAACAGCTGCTCATATTTTGCAGAAGGATTGTATGTGTGAGGCTGTACTCATATTTTCCTATTTGTTTTGTTCTGTTAGAGGAATATTTTGCATAGATGTCACCCAACATCCGGCAGTTGATGATTGATCCTCAGTAGTAATAGTGAAAGTCTCTACACAAATGTCAGCTCTGTTATTAGTAATTGATCTGTAATTAGCTATTTTTTTATTATTATTATTTTTTAGTTTTTTTTTAAACTCATCCCATGTAGAAAGAAAGATTTATTTGTTGCACTGGCTAATTTTGGCACAAGTTTAAAGTGTCTTTGAATTCATGTGCTAAACCCTCATTTAGGGTGGTTGGGCAGGGGGCTGACAAACCCTTCTCAAACTTTAATAACCCAAAGACAAATAGCTGAGGGCTGCTATTCAGTGGTCAAGCACATGATCAGCACTCTTTGTTTATGTGTGTGCATGAGCGCGTTTGTGTGTGCGAGGCCACTGTCCCTTTTCCTGTGACTCCTCTCCGACACGGGGGTTACACCGGGCTATGGATGCATTGTTCCGCCCCGCTTTCTCGCACAAAGCCTGATGTGTGTTTGAGAGAGGGCTTGGCATCTCCCCCAAATATTTGTTCTTGCTGCTGGACGCCCACTGTCGCGAGTCACAGTGAAGCGCAGCATTGACCAACTCATAGACCACACAGTTGATTTCAGTGGCTCCGCGTTACTTCACCGAGTCATATCTCTGTTGTGTCTGCTGTAGTCAGTAAGGCTTTTGATAATTACTCCAAAGCATTAAACATTTTCTGCCGCTTTGCTTTATTCAGTGAGGCAGAACTAGTTTTGCAAGAACAATTGGGTAGTTTATTATTTGAACTGGCAGCACCCTCGCAGCCTAATGACCACTTTTGGTTGAATGCAGTTTCTTCCTCACCCTTCTCATTCTCACTGCAGTTTGGGGTTTGTTAGCTAATGAGGTTCCTGAAATAACTCATTCATGTTGTACCGTGATGGTTCTAGTAGACAAGAGCATAAAAACCACACTGAAACCACCTTCTCTTTTTACCAACACTGAATGTATGTATGGGTATGACGCAATCAGGACATACATTGTGTCTGACACAGCACTTGTATTCCAATCCAGTGTATGGCTGCAACTTACAACTATTTTCACTGTCAATTAATCTGTCGATTATATTCTTCTATCAAATGTCAGAAAATGGTGGAAAATGCTCATCAGTGTTTCCCAAATCTCCTCATGTCTTGTTTTGTCCATAACCCAAATATATTAGTTTACTGTCAGAGGAGCAAAGAAACCAGAAGATAATCACATTTAAGAAGCTGGAATCAGGAAATTTTGACTTGTTTTTCTTTTCTTAAAAAAATGACTCAAACTTTCTGCTCAAGCCCATACCCACCACCCTAACCTACTGTCGCTGCTACTGGCCCATTGTCCTCCCTCCAGCAGAACATCTGTCCCCTCAGCCTTTGTGGATTTCCCCCCTACTTTAACGTGACGTCTGCTTTTATTCATCTCAACAGGTTTCCTGTCAGAGGCTAGACTTTATATAGATACCACTGTGACGCAATCTGAAAGCTGAAAGCTAAGTTTGGAAAGCTTTGAACTTACTGAAGCCAAGTTTTGGAAGGTTATATTTTTGCAGTCCTTGCAGGAATTAGTTCATAGTTGCAACAGAACTTTGAGCACTGGGACATTGTTATTTTATTTTAAATCTAAATGCGTTTAGGTTAACGGTTGTATTAATCAGAGTAATGTTTCATGAAAGTAAAGCCACAAATGCAATCTCTATTTTATGTTCGGGTCAGTTCATATGTCAATCCTGTACCCTTACTAATCAGGCACACTATGCATCCATCTATGAAATCCTCCTATTATACCACCAATTAAATTAATGAGATGTTTTTGTTGAGACTTTTTTCCCAAGAATATTTTTTGATTAAATTCTGATAAATGAAAGGTTATTACATTTCTGATAAAAAGTCAGGTCTGCTTAGTTGCAGGCATCTTTTAAAGGACAAACAGAAATTTGTATGTGAAACATTATACAAGTATTATATTTGAGCTTTTTTTTTTTTATTGATGGCTGATTCACATCTGCATTTACATCTCTTTAACTTTTAAGTCAGCAATTTGCTGTTGCCTGTTCATTCCCCTCGGTCTACCAATGATACGACTCCCCTTTTCCTCCTCACTTGTGTTTGTAATGGCACATTGATTTTTGCTGTGATCATCAGAGCAGCAAACCGACCTCTGCAGAGGTGTTAAGGCTGTAATAAACCAAGAACCGTACCCAGGAGCATTTTTTAAAGGTTTTAAAAACAATAAAGTCCTGTTATCACCAACCTAATTGTAAAGTGGATCTACTCGCTTTGCAATCTAACGCAGGATCTGTTTTTTTAAGTTCCTGATTTCATTATTGTACCAATTATCCTATCTTAAACGGCGATGACTATGCCAAATAGTTGTTATGTAGTGTTGTCTGTATTCCTGCATCATGAATCATCTTGCTTCCGAGGATGACAGGTGCATTATTTTATGAAACTCATCGGTCCTTAGGAAATTTGTGGTCAGGTCAGAGAACTCTTCCTTCAACATGCTCCATTTATTCTAGACCTTGTGTCTTTGAAACCAACTGGGGATAAAAAAAAACACATGCATCAGCAGCAGTAGTGTTAGCACTAGTGTTATTGCTCTGCACTGCCTTCTGTGGTGGAAAGGAGAAGGACAGGAAGCTACATAGGAATTTACCTGCTTTGACTGTGGTACTCAAATACTACATTCGGTGTCGAGCATCTTGACGTTTTTCTGACGATGAATACAGGCTGGGAAGGGTACTGGTGTAAGGAAAGGAAGTTATGCATACTTCGTCTTCTTCACATTCTGTAGATGAGTTTTAAAGTGAAATATTTCAGTGCAGCAAATCCAGTGGTATTTAGATTCCAACATTAGGTATCCTGTAGTGGTTATGTTTTGCTATTCAGTTGCTTCAAGGATTTGAAGCCTTACAATAGTGATACTTAACTAACGACAGGGTGCCGGGGGACCCTCCAACCTCTCAGTTGACTGAGATTGCTTTAAGTCGAGCAGTCCTTTTTTTTTTTTTTTTCTTTTTTTTTTTTTTGCGCTGTGCAATGTATTTCTGGGAATGTTTTGGTCCCCAGATTTTGCTGTGGAGTGATTCAACTGACATAATTCTGAGTCAGGTACAGCCCTATAATTAAGGTACGAGAGTACATTAAAAAAAAGCACAAGAATTAAGGTTGTTCATCCAAAAGAAGCATCAGGTAAGGATCCCCCACACCCCCTAATAGTAGTCCGGGCAAAGCCCTGAATGTCCTCAAATCCTAGAAACACCCTGTGTGCACCTGTCTTGTGCTTGGCAACTGGATTTGCCTCTTGACAGAGATGAATGAGGACAGCAAACACTGAAAGGTTGTAAAGAAGCCATTCATTTATTATATATACTGATAAGTATTATTCATGATCGTTTATGAACTTGCAAAAATGGCCCCCTGGGCAAAGAAAGTTGAGTATCCCTGCTGTACAGCCTTTTCTTTACTCCCATAGAAGATGACCAGGATATGGGATTAACACAAGACTGCCTTTACATGCACTAGGCTCACCTCAGTTGTTTCCCTGTCCTTGTGTTTGTGCTTTGCCTATGTTAAACTGAGAGGAAAGAGAAAACCTCTGTGCTGTAGGGATGCAGGTCAGTGAGATCCGATCTGGAATGGTTGCTAAATAATGTGCATTAGTTCAGATTAACTGGCAGTCTAATACATTAAACTGCACCATAATCTCCATCACCAGTTGGAGGTCAGGAGGCTGATCCTTAAACAAGCATTTTTTTGTTTTCTTACAGCACATGGGCAACCTACATATATTTAGTAACTGCTAAGTGTGTCCTTTGTTCTCTGTTTGAACTGTTTCCCATTTCCTGGATAATAAAAAAATATTTAGCTGTACACACTTGTATTTATTTTCCTTCATGTACTACCACAATAGTACATGCATCACAGTTAGTGGGATTGTGTCCTGAAATAACAAGCAGAGTGGGGCTGGTTCATTTCCTGAAGAGATCCCTCACTTATTCCCTCCTGCAGAAACAAGGTCAGGTGTCAGAGGCCACAGATGACAGAATGGAAGCAAGTCTGGAGTTGGAGCAGGAGTTATTAGTCTTTAGTATGGAGGGCCATAGGAGGAGGTTTTACAGAAATTCCTTTGCAGGTTTGAATATGCGTCTAGTAACTGTTCAGCCAACTGTGACAGAAGGCCGGACACTGTATACTTTGCATGTTGAGCACATGCTAACTTGAGTAACTGCAAAAAGGATTCATTTAATTCACATTTTTGAAATTCATCTTTTCCAACTGAAAGTATTTTTACCAAAAGGAAACCGTTCTTATCATGTTGCTGCTTTACAGTTTCCTCTTTACCTCTGTCTTAGGTTTTGAACTTTTTATGTTCATAGTCAAGATCACAGCCAGAAAAACAACTAAGACTGATGGAGAGCTACATCGAAACATGTGAATGGATTTGATTTAAAAAGGTTTTTTTTTTAATGATAACAAGCTCTCACAGATGCTAAATGAACTCCCATCACCCCTGTATCATTTCCAACTAGAACTGATTTGTGATTTGTTTGGGCTCCAACTAATGATTATTTTCAGCACTCATATTTTCACGATTGACACTTGTTCGGTCAATAGGTTGCTAAAAAAATGTCCAGACCAATTTAACATGCAGTAGTATGTTTTGTCCAAAGAACAGCCCAACCTCCCCAAAATATTTAGTCTACAATCAAAGAAGACCAAAAAACTAAGCACAAATTCATATAATATGATATTTTCAATTTTTAGCATTAAACGCAGTGCCCAGCTGCCTCTACTCTCCACTGGTTAGCTAACCTGCTCTGCACTATTCACCACACTGAGGTACTAGCTAGTGGAGCTGCTCATTTGGGAACTACTTCTGTGGAAGTTCATGCAGACACATGATGGTCACCATCATATCTCCCCCAAGCGAGCCCCAATGAATAAGCAGCTTCATTTTGAGCTGCAAACCCTCTTTAGCATTGTTAACTACGTTAGCACCAGTAGCTGTGCTGCTGACACTGCTAACAGAGCTAACAGTGATAACATAGTAAACAATGCCAAATGGGGCTTATAGCTCAAATTTGAGCTGCTTACTCACTGGGGCCACCACGGGGGAGACCGGAGGATGGGCACAGTGTTTCCATGCTACTGTTGGGTCGCCAAATGAGCAGCACTATTTGCTAGCTCCCACTAGATGCGGGTGGTATTTAGTGCAGTAAACTAGAGTGTAGTGCGTCAAAAATATTCTCGGTGGTTTACCGACTAACAGTTTTTACTGACACTCCTGGCTGAAATGCATTCTGAGAACTCATCAGCTATCCTCTGACAACAATGTTTCTTTAATTCAGTCTTCATTCTTATGCAAACAACCTTCTATAGAGAGGTTTGTTGAAACAAGTGGCACACGACAGAGGAAGTCTTGGCCCAGGTATCCACTTGAAGACTGGATCTTCCGAAATATTTGCTGCTGCCTCCAGGGTTTTATGGTTGTTAGACTGATAGCTGATGGGTTCCGAGATTGCACGCTTGTCCTCTTTGCTCACACATTCCTGTCACTGGATCTGTTTTCTATGACCAGTGCCAAATCATTTACAACAGGTACAGGGTTACATACTTTAGAAGTTTAAATTGGAGGAGGTTAATGTAATACAGCATGAAGACTAGAAAACTGTGTGCTTGCCTTGCGTCCGACACACTTCCACATAATGTGTTGTTGTCTTTGATAGTTGCCTCACTCAGATTCATAATTTATTAATCAGCTCTTTCTCTTGGAGCTGGCGAATTGCTTTGGTGATGGATTTTCCATTTTACTCAAGCAACAACTATCCCATCTGATGTCAGCAAAGATTCATGAGCTCAGAATGACTCATCATGTTGCGGATCATAACCTCAATTTTATACGTACCTATATATCATATTATTTTAAATATGGTGAAATGAAGAATTTATGATGTCCCAGCAGCAATTGCTACCCCCCTCCACTCCCTAAATGTAATCCCCTCCCATGTAATCCCGCCTCTCCTGTCATTTCTACTCCTTTCAGCCCCCCTCACTGTGTTTTTCCGCTCTCTCTCTCACACTGTCCTCCTCTCCCATCCCACTTATTCCACCTTACGCCTGATGGAGCATTAAGCCTGAATGCTGTGGGCAGCCGTGGCCTCAGATTCAGAGTGTTTGTGTGAGGGAGCCAGTGCAACATCGGTTCCTCTCCTGTTTTCTTGGATTCTTGCTTCTTTCAGACAATCGGGAATTACTTGCTACAACTGTGCAGTTTCTTTTGTTACTGTGTGGGAGTGGGATCAGAGGACATTGTTCCAAACCCAGACACTAATCTGCACTTGCTTCGCTTTGGAAAGCTTGGAAATGGTCTCGTGGATGCCCTCTTTAACCTAACCTCAGCCTTTTGTTGTTCTGCTTTGGAGTTGGATGGACATTTTCTGGATTTGGATATTTCAAAAGGGTACACGGTCCACACAGAGACACTCTGGATAAGATGGTGCCCCTGCAAAAAAGGGTAATCTGAGTTATGTGTGTGGGAGAGAGTGGAGGGTTTTATGTGCATGATGTGGCTGCAGTGACGTTTGCAGATTGTTGTCTGTTTTCCTCTATGAATGGTCGGTGCCTACCAGTGATAATGAAGCAAATGCTGTTTGATGACTAATTGTCACTAATAAGTCTGAGAGTAAGCATGCTCTTGGGCATTAAAGGGAAATGCTTGTTGTAGAAACAAGAAAAATAGGTGTCTTGAGGACAGAGAAACAAACAGGAATGAAGGCTGCCGAGGAGTCGCCTCATTATTTGAGTAAAAAGTCTAATTGTTTGGCTTTATCTTGTCATTCTTCTGTTGAGTGGCTTGTTGATGAGTGATTGCTCATTGAAACTGCCTAACAAAGCAGCCTGGAAACCCCCCCCCCCCCCCCCCCCCCCCCCCCCACTCAGAGTGCTCTCTATTGTTGTACTTAAGTGCTTTAATTGGGAGTCGTTTAATTTGTGAGTGCTGCTTCAAAGTTATTTGAGAGATTTCATCAAACTTTAGACAACGTGTGATTTCAGTAAAGCTACAGTGGTATATTATCTTGAAACTTGAGCAACTAATTCGAACAACAAAGTTAAATAAAGATACCTTAAAATGCTGCACTACTGTGGAGGCCAGAGCACAGCTCTCAAACTTTTCATCACCACAACCGCTTCCTGTATGTTTGATATGAAAGCGCTTTTAGTGCAGAGATGCTTCAAGCAGCCACAGAGTACATGGTGTAGTTTGCTAAGAGAATCAGACGGCCCCTACCAAGCTGACACTTTGTATGCTTAGTGTGCTGGCTTAAGAAACTACTAGCTGGTCTCAGGAAGACTCCAGACATGGTGGAGGAGAGGATGGGGAACTGTTGGAGCTACACCAAGGTCGATTTTCTTTTTGGTTCACCTTAAAATCACACTGTCGTGAGTAGATGTTTTGAAAGTAGCCACGTGATCATCAGTAAAGATTAGCTGTAGTGTACGTGTGTTCATTGATATTCCGGATGAAAATGCTATCTTTCTTTTTTGAACAGATAAATTGCAAGACAAGACCTCAGCCAAGCAGAGGCTCATTTTTTCCTCACAAGTCATGAACAAATGAATAATGAGTTCGGCCCCAACAGCTGTATTTGGTTATCAGTAGTGTTGGCGCCTGTTTTTACTATGAACTACACTACACCCTCTGAAACAGACCTCACTTATTACATATTTTATAAAGGATATCAAGTGAAAACTTGCTTGTCACATCTTGACAGTGTCAGTCATAGGTCAGGAAGTGTCACCTTTGAAGGTGTTTAAATTGTAGCCTTGAGAGCAGGTCAGAAGCTGCTGTCTGATCAGGAAACATGTTGACAGACACCCATATGTCTGAATTCTTTGGTTGGGGAAATGCAGATTGACAGTATTCCAACAACAAATGAGTATAAGGTGAATTTTTTAGAAGATTAAGATGAATGTCTATAGGATGTTCTCAAATGCTGGATGCTTGCTAATACTTAGCGCATTGCATTTGAATTTAGGACTACAACCTGTATACAGTGCAATGTCCTCATCAAGGTGATTTAATCTTTTATTACGCTTGACTTTGCTTCCTTTTTTCTGTATACCTGATACTTTGTAGATTGCTATCTCTTTTGTATCTGAGTGATTTAATCATATTGTCCTCTTCTTTTCTGCAGGATCAGTTTGACAACTTGGAGAAGCATACACAGTGGGGGATCGAATTTGTGGAGAAGTACACCAAATTCGTTAAAGAGAGATCGGAGATTGAAACCAACTATGCAAAACAAATTAGGTGAGTGCTCATGCTGACTTGCGCTCCATATTTGGAGATGCAGGGTTGTAATTAGGTCCATCCAGGTGGCTTAGATGAAGAACCTCCCCCATCTACAGCATGATTTGACCTGCTGAAGTGTCCTTGAAACAGGAGAATGAATCCTCAGCAGCTTGCTATGTAACTGACCGTGACCCCTGACCTCCCTCTGGAGAGGGAAACCGAAACGAGAATCCTCATATGGGAAGCAATACATTAGCAGTGTTTTATTAGTAAACATAATTGCTGTGTGCAAATGTAGATCTAGATGAACAAGCGAGAAGAGGAGGTCTGTTTACTGCTCCATCTTTTTCTCTCTTTTTTTGGGCTGTAGAGAGTCTTTCTGTCTGCCTCTCTCTCATGCATGCACGCTGTCTGTTGTTGCTAGCTTCTGCTTCAGGCAAGAGGAAGTCAGGTTGTGGGGGGATGGGGTGGTGCTTGTGTTTCCATAGAGACTAGTAGGTATCAGCATTATCAACCCCAGGTCTGACCCAGATTTTTTTTTCCTCCTTCCAACCACAAGTGTCGGCCCCGCCCCCTCCAATTCTCCCTACACACACTCTGTTTTGGTGCAGTCACTGATTTTCAAAGGCAGTGATGGGAGCATAAGCAGTCCTGCACGGAGAGAATCCATCTCATAAGTCCTCATGCATCCTAACACAGTAAGAGATACCCCCCAGAACCCACAAATCCTCATCTTTAAAGAGGCCTGGCAATATGGCTAATGCTCTAAGTACTGACCCCCAGCCCCCCATTTCACAGTGACTAACCAATCCAGTATTCACATAGCAACTCAACCCAAGACCACTCAACTTAAGTCAGTTTCAGATAATAGGACTAGTAGTTTGTGTTTACATGCATGCATTATCCATATAGCATATCCCTGCACCACCTTACTTTTCATGCTTAAATACAGACACATATCAAACAGATTTATGTCTTTTTCCACACAAATGCTGTTTTGTTTATATATATTTTTTTATTTTTTTCCATTCTTTCTCTTTGTTTACATTTGTGGAAACGTCTGAAATAAGGGAAACGGTGTCAAATTTATAAAGCAATGACTGATGAACAGGAAGCTTTTGTTTGTGTGCACAACTGCTAGATAATTCCTAATAGGGCCGTAACGGTACATGTATTTGTGTCGAACCGTTCGGTACGCGACTTTCGGTTCGACACGACCCTGTACCGAATTATTGGGTGCAGGATATTATTTTATTTTATTTTATTTTAATTCCGTTTTTGCGAGCCGAACCATTTAAAATATCTAGTTCTCCGACGGACATAATTGAGTGACGGACTGTAAATCTCCGCTTTCACTTTGTGCAGCGCATTCTCGCATTTTGACAACATGGCCAGTGAGCCTGACAAACCTGAAGACCCACCCACAAACCTTAAGTCCTCTGTTTGGGAACACTTTGGTTTCAGGGTAAAATACGAAGATGGAAATAAACAAGTGGACAAGACAAAAGCAGTATGCCGACACTGCAGAACAGTGGTCGGGTATGTACTTGGAAACACGTCTAACATGCTAACGCATCACACCACCTGAGTTTGAACGTTAACCGGCACGACTAGAAAAAGTAATCTCGTGCAAACTACGGTATCGTCGTTGTTTAAAAAGAAAGAGCGTTTCCCTGACCATCGCGCTAAAGAAATAACCAACGCCATTGGGGTTGAGTACAATTGTTTAAGCTGCACTTTAGATATAAGCATGTTTTGTTTACTGCACTTTAACAAAGTGGGAAAGCTAAGTAAGTTCCTAGTATACTTTTTATACTATACCATACTATACTTTTTATTTTAATTGAGTAAAACTGTTAAAGCAGAAATGTATATTTATATTTTTCATTCAAAAAATGTGTTAAAAAAACAGCAGGATTTTATTTTTCACTTTTATATTTATATTTTTCATTCAAACAATGTGAAAAAGCAGGATTTTATATATATTTGTTTCATTCAAAAAATTTAAACGTAAAAAGAGTTAACTGCTGTGGTGGTATGTTTTAATAAGGTTACCAATAAGTAAAAGATATTTAATAGTTGTCTATTTTTTTTATTACTGTACCGAAAAAAACCGAACCGTGACTTGTGTACTGAGGTACGTACCGAACCGTGATTTTTGTGTACTGTTACACCCCTAATTCCTAATTTAGTTCATGCTTTGAAGCCAAAGTAAAGCATTGCAACAAATACTGCGTCACGAACATATGCACTTCACAGATCTGTACTTGCAGTTGAAAACGTACAGATATCCATTAATTCAATTAGTCAGTGTCTGTCTACAATATGTTTGACAAATGAACCCGGGGTAGACTCATCTTGCCATGGCAGGTTGGCTTTTATTGAACTTCAAGCTCCACAGATGGTGCGGATGTTTTCAGTTGCTGTGCTTACACAGAGCGCCCGCTGTCCAACTGGGTCTGTTATCTAGCACACACACACACACACACACACACACACACACACACACACATGCAAATAGGCACATGTCAAAAAAAGGCTAAAATGAGGAAATTAGGACAGACAGACAGGATAGCTTGAGTCATAGGGTTTTCCTGTGTTCTCAACACACTGTGCTTCTTTGTTGTAGCACTACTTGGCCATACCTCAGGGCTAATTATCCCTTTTAATCAACTTAGCTCATGAAATCGGGCTTAATCTAACGGGGACACTTAAACCAAACGAAAGGCAGGGCTGTTAGATCTAATAAAGTAATGGAATTTGGCCCCTTTTGATCTAGTCCTCTTTTTTCTCCACTGTGTTGCTAGGGAGACTTTTAATTCTGTCCTTCCCTTCAGAGGTAACAGGCCTTTTCACAGTAGACATGTTGACATGGCGTAATGCGTAAGGCACAGGTGTTTTTAAAAACTTGATAATGGCAGCGTTCCATATAACTGTGGAAAAGTTTGGCAGATTTTGTTTTGTCAGTGTTGGCTTACTGATATGGCTAACAGGGACAGGAAATGATCGTCAGTGAATCAATAAATCAATTCAAAGAAACAACCGCAACTTTTTTGATAACTGATAAAAGATTTAAGTCATTTGTTAAGCAAAAATGCCAAACATTTTGTGGTTCCAACTTTTCTACCGTGAAGATTTGCTGCTTGAGGACATTGCCTTTGGTTCTGAAAAAATGTTATTGTGAATTATTGTAATTTTTCATTGTCATCAGACTAAATCATTAATGGAGAATATATTCAGTAGGGCTGTGTGCTGGCAAGAAACTGGCACTACGAAACCAATCATGATACCAATCATGATATGGGGCTTATAATTCAGTGTATGGCGATACTGCAGGTAAATAGATATTGTGCAACTTTTGTAAAACCAAATTTAGGAGCTAGCAATGTGCCTTTATAACTCTGGCTATTTCATAGGTTCTTTGTTTTAACGCTAGCTGTATGTTATTGCACTGAAGTGGGAGAGTCAAGCAGTTTAAGATAGATGCACTGCTATCAGCAGCTTGGGGTTTAAACATAACACAAACTTAAACATTGCCACAAATCTTTGCATGTAAATATATCAACATAATATCACAAGACTCAAGTGTATCAGGATTTTCTTACACCCCTATTACTCAGTTGGTCAGTCATGTAAATGTTTGCTAGTTTCAGCTCTCAGGTTACGAGTTACTCTGGTGCTTTTCTTGCTAAATGCTGATGTGAAAAACAGAAGTGTGTGAGTAAGTGAATTGTCATTATTGATCAACACCTAGTATATTATGAAGCACATCAACCAACCTACATCCCTCGCCAAATGAACGACATCTATGGCTATTGAACTACTTTGTACCATTTCTATCACCACATTAACCACACTACACTAATCCCATGAATAATCCTCTTCCACTGCAATGGTGTAAACATGCACAATGCTTCAGTCTAGTCATTGCAGGGCAGTGCATTAATGCCTCCTCCTCCCTCTACTCCCCCAAATTCCAGTCTGGCATAATCCATAACACAGTGGGAATAAAGTCCTGCTAACAAAAGAGACTGGGTGAGGGCGTCTGTCTTTACTGTGGTTACAGTGTCAACCAGTATGTAGCAGCCATGCACTCATGCTGTATCATCTTCCAGACAAAGACACACACAAACATACATTGTGTAATCATCCTAATTAAGTGCTAGCTGCTACCCTAATTTTGACAAGTTTGTTATGTTTTTGAGGTGAGCGGGCAAATACAGTCTGACACATGACATCTGGCTGTAAGAGAATGAATGGGTTAGTGGGCACTATAATTAGAGATGGTGTGAGAAGGACAGGGTGAGAGATAGACTGATAGATCTGCCTAGCAACAGCGCAAACACCGGCGGGAAGGAGAGGCGTGGGGGATGTAAGCAGAGCGAGACACACACTACATGTTTTTTTAACACGTGCATTATTTATTTCAGCAGGAATTTTGCATGCCCCTGTACAAACTGAGGCATTTAGATTCCATCAGTGAATACACTGTTATCATCTCATAAAAAGGGCAACTACCACGGACTGATATCAGCTCTTTCAAAGCAGTTGACGTTGGCTTACAATGATTATTTTTTTCTCTTGTAAAAGGAGATAGGGGAATTGTGTTTCCAGTGGTGTACTAATTATTGTTAAAAAATTTCATGATGTTTATTACAGAATTTATCTCAACAAAATAATAAGCAATCGCTGTACCTGTAGGACATAAAGTAGGATTGGAAGATTGACGTATGACTCCCTATTGTTTTGTAACATTGATCTCTGTCCTACTGAAAATATAAATGGCTCATCTTGTTTGCGTTTGTCTGTTTTTTGGTGGATGTGCACCACTTGGTTGTTCATTTTAAACTGAGAACAGTGCCCTATAATTAGACAAAGCATCCTTAAGGCACAAGTACACAATCTGCACCCAAATCCACCAAAGCATGGTGGATGTTATTATATTCTGTTGACAGAGTAGCTTTCAAACACAGTTAGGTGGTGAGTGTGTCACACTGTCATAGTGATACAAACATGACATGATTTACTGAAGCCTGTCAAAAAGCACAACAGTTGCTAGGTTGAGAGAAGGACATTGAAAGACATAACCATAATAAAGGTTGTTATTCACAGGATATTACCATCAATACCAATTCAGCTTCGGCTCCTACAGTGACATGTTTTCTTTCATCCTTACACAACATCTTATTTCCCCCTCTCCTCACACTGCACTCATCTCGAGTCGCTAAAATGCAGCCAGAGTCAAAACAAGGGCAATGGCTGCATAAGAAAAGCATGCTTGTTTCTGGTGACTGGCTTTGCATGCATACTCCTGGAGGAGGGCAATAATTTATGTCCTGAGGAGAGGAAAGGGGGATGCAGTGGAAGTAGCAGAAAGCACTCTGCTGGATTGAATGGTGTACAGGATGATCCTTTGGCAGGTCCATAAGGGCAGTGTCAGGGAAATATAATGGGAAGGTTGCACTACCCGTCTGCAGACTGTGCTCTTAGGAAAGATACTGTAAGAAATGTCTGACGAGGCTGAACTCTTTGTCCTCACAGGAATTTATCAAAGAAGTATCAACCCAAGAAGAACTCACGAGAAGAGGAAGAGAGCAAGTAAGTTCAAGGATCTTGCACATAAAATAGATTAAAGGAATACTTTGACATTTTCAGGTTGACTGCAGGTCCTTTAAAAGTCTTAAAATGTCTTAAATTTTGCAAATATTAGACCTTAAAAGTCATCAAAAAGTTTCATCTCTGTTGTTTCAAATCTTTAAAGCTACCACTGAACCTGACACTGTTTTTGACTTCATACTTGCACTTACCTGTTGGCAAAATGTAGATTAACCTACCTCACTCTAATAATCATGTTCCTACATAAAACCTACCTCTGTTCAGGACCACATATAAACCACTTAACTTTATACTTAACTGCAGTGTTTAAATAGGAAAAATGTGATTTGTTCACAAATCTGTCTTAAATTTGGTAAAATTTATCTTGAAAAGGTCTTAAAAAGCATTACATTAAAGTGTTTGAGGCCTGTAGACACCCTGATTTTGAAAAAAACTGATTATGTATTCACTTTCTGGCAGAGACGTAGAGGAGTTGTCGTCGCCCCCCCCCCCCCCCCATGAAAAATTTATGTTTTAACAGTCAGTCAGAATTTGTTATTGGACAATCTGTCAACCCTAGCTGTTTCTTCCTGTTTCCAGTCTCAGTGCTTAGCTAAGCTAACCGTATGCTAATGCTAGCTGTAGCTTTGTATCTCACCTAACTCTGCCAGAAAACCATGAGGGTATTTCCCAAGAATGTAAAATTCTTCTTTAAAGATGTCCCTGTATTAATACTGCCTTTCTTCTGACGTCACTTCCTTTGTCTAACCAGGTACACCTTCTGTCGAGCCTTCCTGACGACACTTAACGAATTAAATGACTACGCGGGTCAACACGAGGTCATAGCGGAGAACCTGACGTCTCAAATCATCACTGAGCTTTCACGCTACCTGCAGGAGCTCAAGGCCGAGAGAAAATCGGTGAGATATGTTTTTACATTCACATTAAGTTGTGCTTTTTTTTAATCCAACGTGTTATTTTTAGCTCTTTCTCTGTAATTTTATTCACATCATTGTGTCATTCTCCTCATGCCAGTGTTTTAAATCAAACATTAACTTTAGACAAACGGACGTGGATTCTGTAAAAGAAAACAGACACACTGGCTTACAAGAAATTAAGTAGCCCATTCCCTCTGCATACTCTATTCTGCATGAACTGAGGTCATCGCTGAGTAAATATAGATACACCCAAAGGCTTGCCAGAAGAGCAGAATGTGACTGACTGAGTCCTTTTTATGGAACAAAGTCATCGTCTCTCTATCATTAGAGGCTTATTTCTCTCTTTTATAAACCATATTACAAAAGATTGGTGCACCGCACACTATTCTTAAATGTTGAAGTCACTTTCGTCCTCACCATTACAAAGTGATTTGGAAGAGCGGTGGACCTGCAGCGCATGATTCATAGATAACAGTGTGGTGCCCATTAAAATCCATAGAGTTGTTGGAGGAGCAGAGAGAAAGCTAAAAAGTACTTTCTGAAAAATCTGTAATGGGCTCTTATGTCACGGTAGTCCAGCTGAGGGAACTGGAGTGGAAAACCAAAACCAGAGGGCTGCTCAGAGGCAGAGTGACCTTTTTTAGAGTATGTGTAGAGTATGCACAACTGGTGACAACTCTGCTGCTGTATTCACTACTTTGCCAAAATACAGGAAGCCCTGGGTTGCATTATTAGTGATCAGTTGTGATTTGCAACTTGGTTTTAGTTGCAGCAAAACGCAGAGAGAATGGGGATTTCCAATGCTTCATCCACCCCCTCCAGGCCTGTTTTGCTCTTTTGGCTTTGGTTTAGCCAGGCTTTGTTTGGCTTGACATAGCATCTGTATCTCCAGTGTCCAGACAGAGGGTCCATGGGCAGACCCGTGCTGTCCTGAGGCTGCAGGATGTCCCTCTGACACCCCTCTTCCCCTTCATGTCTCTGGACTTTTCCTCTATTTTAATCACAAATGTCCCTGTTCCTCTCCTTGTGTCCCCTCTGTTCTCCTAGTTTGTCATGTGTCTGCTGCTCTTGACTAAAGAAGCCTTCAGTTCGCCAGCGCCGGGGAGTTTCCCTTCATAGCATGGCCCCATAACTCAGTGTCTTTTCTGAACAGAAGATGATTTCATATAAAAGACACTGAGCAAATAGTTTCTCAGTCGTATTCAGAACAGTGTCATTGTAGGGTAAATGTAGCCTATTTAGCTTTATTTCTTTTTAATTTTTTATTCAAAGACTCTCATGAATGATCGAGAATGATGCTCTTTGACATAATTAAGTGTTAAAAGGCTACTAAGATACAAGCCCAAAGATACAAAGAAAAAGCTCTTCATTAAAATTGACTCTTTTTCTTTTTACAACATTCAAGGTTTCATAGTAAGCCTGTCTGTAACACTATTAGAAAAAGTAATATTCTGAAAGTTGTTTGTAAAGCCGTCATTACTCAGGACTTCCCCAGCATCTGGTCATTCTTTCCTCTGGTTTCATTCAAATTAATTTTTACCACTCGTCATGTGTTGATACTCATGTCCCATTGCCATGGCTTCCTGTGCGATGGATAATGCTCCCAGCACCGCTCTAATATGTCGCCATATTTTCTTAGCAGTGACATCGAATCTGTTATCCACTCAGCAATCAACCAAGAGTAGACAATGCCCAGAGTGCATTGTGTGTATGGTCATGTGATATGTGTTTTCAGGCATGTTTGTAGAGATGGAGATTATTTCTAAAACTCTTGTGTGTACAGAGATCATTTTCTTTTTAAAAAGTTGTTTTTTAAATCGAAACGTATTAGTGTGGGTGTGGCCTCTGTGTTTTTCTGTTGCAGCTTTTTAATTTGAGTCTGTGTCAGGCAGAGCTGTGCAGTCAGTTCCAGACAGTGGGATTAGATGGGGTTCAGGGCCTAAACATCCTGGGTTTTAGAGAGCTTATTGCACAGGTAAAATCCAAAATACAAACCAGAGGGAGAAAGAAAAATAATACCTCATTTAGTTGCTCACGTGGGGCTGTTTTGTAACTCTCCTCACCTCGCTTTGCTATTTCCCTGAGTGAACCTCTTGCTAAGCTCAGCTTGGGGTGGCACAGGAGGTGAGGCCAAGAATGTTGTCTTAAAGGATTTTCTTTTAGGGCAGATATACTTGTTTTTACAAAAGTGGAACCTGGCTTTAGAGGTCAGACTGTTCAATTTATTGTGTTATGCAAACATATTTCATTCTTTCATTCTTAATTTGTAAAGGAAGGAACATCAAAATATGTCATGACCTCATTTGACCAGCATTGCTTGTTTGTAGCCTAATAGTATGATAGGCAATAATGAAGAGCAGGCAGGGTTAATATGGGATGAAAGGCCTGAGTCTCACAGGACTGTGATTGTGCTGAGGAATCATAATAAGGTGTTTGGTCAGCATGCTGCTGTCCTAACCAGGCCTCTGATCGCAGGGCTTAGGTATCCTCTCTAATAAGGACTGATAAAGACCCTTAAAGGTTCAGCACGACCTCCAGAGATGTCCCATTTACTGTAACCCTTGTAACATTTACAAATGTTACTACACTGTATTTATAACATGTTGCTAAAGGAGTCCACTTGAGGGAAAGTTCAGCCTGTGCTCTTTTGTATCCACTTGCACCCACAGCACAGCACATAATTATATTTTTTGGTGGAGTACTATCTGTCTCATCCTGCTTTGATGTGACATGTTCAACCAGCTAGAAAAATTGAAAAAAGAATACATCTCATTCAGCCAGCAGGGCATGGAAATTAAGTGTTACATTTAACGAAAAGTCAGCTAAAAACTGTAATGCACTGTAAAATATCATTAGGTGGGTTTGGCAGAGTCCTCATTTGTCTCGTAGGGGGCAGAGAAGTGAGCTGCAAGCACAGTGGAGGAACAATGTGTCTCTCTTGAGTGGCCTCAAATGCCTTCTTGTGTTGAGTGGACAAATAGGAAGCAGAGAGGGAGGGTTGATTGTTGGATCTTCCCATAGCTGCTGCATACACATCTCAATCCAGAATACTTCAGTATGAATTACCTCTGCAATAATACTCCATCTGAACCGTCGCCTAATGGTAAAAACATGAGGAGGAAAAGTCAGTGGAGCTCTCATGAGGTTTAATCATCTCTTCAGTCCGTAGATCTTGTATGACTTGCGGCTATTTCTGGTACCTAATGAATATATGTGTGCTGACAACTGTGCTGGACTGCAGGTGCACATTCCTATGAACCAAATCATGTCAATGAATGACTAACAGATCAGTGAAAGCTTGTTTATGTGCACACAGATGTACATGTGCACCTCTTCACACATGTAAACTCACAAGTGCAAATGTGGTGCTGGAGCGAAGTTTTCATTCCGGTCTTATTTGTCAGACATTGTCTTGCTCTCACCATATGTCTCAGTTTATGAATGTGTACATGAAAGGGACAGCTTGTGAGTCACTCAGAGTGTATGCCACAGCCAGCCCTATCAGAGCATGTCTGTCTCACCTCAGCTCAGTCAGGTACAAGGATGACACTAGAGAGTACAGTGGCAGATAAGGCAAACTGTAGACTGTAATAGAAGCAGTGCTTGTGTGTATGCAGAGAAAGATTCCGTCTTTCGGAACTGGATTGACTGAAATCTATAACAGAAGTAACGTCGTTTATAACCTTATCTAGTAATACATCTTTTATTTATGCCTTGTGTTAATTAGTCCCCCAGGGTTTTGCGGTTTTTTTTTTTGGCAGAGATTGTTGCGGCGTAACATGCTTGATTACAAGGCAACTTTTTTTTAAAACTGCGATAGGTTTAGGCTTTTTTTTTTTGCAATGTGTTTTGTGGCAGAAACGTGTTGGTCAAGTGATGACTTTGGGTTGTGTTCCACCACGACGTTGCACATGGTGCAAAACAGTTTACCCCTGCTTTTGTGCATGAGGGAATTGCCTCGTATGATTTTTAGAGGTAATTTTTGTTGATAAATGTGAAGACGTTCGTGGCGCACATCTCTGCATCTTCACAGCCACAGACAAGGAAGTGGGTTTGGTGATCTAAGTTGGTGACTGCTATAATTGATGAACTCATAGGAAACGATGATGGTTGGTCAAACTTGTGGAAAAGTTGCTGTGATTGGACAAAATTGCAAGGTCAGGCAGAATTCACAGCGATTGGTTGAATTTGCATCAATTGTTGTGATCGCAACATCCTGGAGGGGCTTGTTAGGGTGCCTGGAGGGAGTGTGGTGGTCTGTGTTGTACCAGGAGGTGCACAAGAGCAGGGGCCAGCAAGAGTAAGTCCTTTTTCTATGAAAATGTAGTCATAGCACAGGCAGCCATCCTGTTTCTCATTATTAAGTAAACATTAGATCTGCTGATCTAATGTGCCTGGATGGATAGTAATCATACTTTCCAGTCCCACTTTTATTACAGTTAACATATCGATGTAGTTAAAGTTTGGAGTCTGAAGTCAGAAATCTGTTAGCACGTTAAGTCCAGCTTTTTTTCTCTCTCTCTCTCTCTGTCGCGGTGTCTGGGTAACTGAGAGTGGCAGCTTCAGGTCAGCGACCTGTTGAAGTACCCCAGATGTCCTGGACAGAGCTAGCAGTCGCATGCTGTTACTGAGAGGGATAAAGAAAGATGGGATGTGTCTACTCTTTGTTGTGTTGAACAGAAGGGCTGGATGGGCCGAGAGGTATCCTGCAGTCTACGAATTTAAACACTGCAGAGCATCTGCCTAAATGGCTGCAGCATTTATACCTGCATGCCAGATGGCTGTTTGTCACAAACGATGATGCGCTCGTTTTTATCATGTTTGAAAGTGAAAGAGCTCACATTTCTTGGTCGTGGTCTGTAGATCTTCATCATCCAGCAGGATCTTGTGAATCTGATCGAGCTGTTTGGGGAAGATTGTCAGCGTAGTTTATTTATCTTCATAGTGATAGAAGATTTGTTGACGCAGACAGCACGCAAGTCTGGATATTTTTCAGATATGTTGTTATGGAGACAAATATTTGGTTGAAAGAATGCTCCACAGTAACAATGATGTCATCCAGTCTGCTGCTGCGTGTCGTGAAAAGGCTTCGAGGTATCTCCACTGTATCTTATCATCATTTAGTAAGACATGTTTTCATCACTGAATAAAATTCTTCTCATTGAACAGGAATTTGAAGGTCAGGGTCGTTTGAAAAAAACAAAACGCCTGATTAGACCCTGGACCGACTTTAAAGGCTCCACAATGTCCCATTTTCTGTTACAGCTGAAATACTTCCTCTGAAACACTGGAGCACTTCCTTATTTTACTCAGCTTCCCTCGAAACTTTGGGAAATGAGAAGTGCGACTACGTGAGGTAAACCAGGGCACATTCTCACTAACTCCTCTCAGTGTCCAGTGTTATACAGGTGAGATTAACCTTTAGGGCCTCCTACATCAGTATTAATTTCACATCTCTTGCTAGTGCCTCTGAGTTAGTAAGCAGAATACTGAGGACTTCCTTGTGCTATCCAGCGCACTGAAATTCAAGAGAAGTACAAGCAAAAGCTTTCTGTTCTTTATAATGGCCTGGTTCCGTTATTGAATGGCAGCATCGATATTCAGCTCAGCTACTGACCCTAGCTTCCGCAGTCAGCGTAACCAGGGGGATATCTCATTGATAGTCAAGTCTGTGTGTCATTTTCACCCTAATTTGATTTTTTTTGGATGCTTTGGCAAATTAACATGACTGCAGAAAATGTAGGAATTATTTGTATGCTTTATGAGTAATTGCAATGCAATTTAAAAAAGGTTTAAAATTGGGGCTTTGGTGTGTTTCTCGGGTGTCTGGCTATGATCCACACAGAGAGCTGTAGAGTGATGTGCTCTGCCTCCGGGCCAAGTGCTCTGGTCCCCTGGAGCGAGATAGGCCAAGTAAGGCCTTTTACAAAAACACACAGTGTGTGTGCTGTGTGAGTTCAGACCAGCAGCTGCCACCTAGCCATTGTCGAATATGCCACACTTAATGGTGCCAAAATCCACTGTGACCTGTCTGTCTCCCCCTAGATTACAATATCTGGCTCCTGGTGAGCATCCTATGTTTTATCTCATGGTATGTGTAAACTTATCATTACTGGTCTTGCTTTTTCAGTTAGCCTTTCTATGTTTTGTATACTTTCTCATCTAATGGTTGTAACTGTCATGTTCGGGTGCAACTGTTGCATGTATCAAGTGAAGATGTTCATTCAGGGGCAGGCCAATAACAGACCTATTAAAATAATCAAAAAACCCACAAAGAAGTTAATCAGTATAGTGTTTTTAACAGTAAGAACATGTGTTCTTTGTTTAACAAAAGAGCTTAAGACAATGATGATGTTAATATTAAACAGGTATAATGTTTACCATTCCTACCATCTTATTTTAACATGCTAACATTTGCTAATTTTCACTAAAAACAAAAAACAGCTAAGGCTTAACAATAAAGATTACCCAGGGCAAGTAAAATGCCACATTGGGCCAGTTAATCCAGCAGCTCACTTTCTTGATCAGGAAAGTGATAAAAAACAACTAAACACGTCGTTTTTTTGAGCCATTATGCTTCTCATTTCTGATGAGCGTTGCTGATATGGCATTTTTGAGGAAATGGTGGTGGGAAAGAACACATTTTTTGAGCTGAAGTGAAAGCGAACATTTCATTTATCCTGGAAACAGGAATTTAGTAGGGTGGCATTAGAGGATATGGGCGAAACTCAAACTATATATTGTGTAGTTTGCTTCAAGTGTAAGAGCAAGGGCAATAAAAGGGATTAAATTTTCATGACAATTAACTTTGCCGCTGCTTTGTCTTTGTTGTTTGATAACCGCCAATAAATAAAACTATTTGTATAATGGCAAGTAAAAATTGGCTTTGAGCAAGCAGACTTTTGACCCACTTTCCTGACCATTGAACCACAACAGTTGAGGCTGATCATAATTTTTGTTGCATGTATATGTCCATAAATGTACATATTGGACAGTTTATAATATTGACCTCATGGTAGCACTAGAGGAAAAGTCAGGAGATTACCAAAGTTATTACAGTTCATCCTATGGGGGGACAAGTATGTCTACCAAATTTCAATGGAACATGTTCAGTAGTTGTTGAGATAAGGAAGCCTTAAGGAATGACTACATTTTTGTAAAGCTCTTCTGTTTAGATATTCCTTGTTAAAGAAATGTGCAGATTTCATTCATATCGTTTGTACTGAGCTCATGGAATTAGTGCATCTCTTATGTATGCATTAGGTGCTGGCAGAAAGCACAGAGGACAGTTATTTTTTAACAACACAAACCTTGCCTTTGGCAACATGCTCTGTACATGACATGTGACTTTGTAGCCTCATAAAAGCAGCGTCAGCGGCTTTACCACACTGTTATATTAGTCCCACTGTTTGTCATTGTTACTTGATCTACAGTATGTTTGACCTTTTTTATTTTATTGGAATACTTAGTACAAACCTTCACTCAGTTGCCTTTTAGTATTGGTACTTAATCTTTGTTGGAGTTGTAGCACTGCTCTTTCTTGGTGCACCTGTGTTTAACTGATGGGTTTTGATTCGACTGCTCTTCAATCAAACTGACTTGCAGCCATATGCTCAGGCTTTTACAATTCTCCAAGAGTTAAGCCTGTGGGTTATGTGGTCATAATATTTAATGTCACTACAGTGTAGTATCTATTTGAATTTGCCCTACTTTCTCAGCTCACATTAATACCTCCCTGTCACAGTGTGAGTAATATCCATAGTGTTTAATGGTATGGTTGAGACTCCCATTCCAATTGCTTCTAATTTATTATCCCTACTATGTCAAGGTCACCTGCTTTATAATCCCCTAAGCTTGTGAATTGTATGATAATATTTCTAATATTTTTTTTCCTTTCCCAACTCTTGTGACAGCACTTCCATGATGGGCGTAAGGCACAGCAACACATTGAGAGCTCGTGGAAACAGCTGGAATCAGTAAGCGACCCCATTATTTTACACTACTACCATTGCTCTCTCGTAGCAGTTATTGATGATTGTTGGTACAGTGACTCAGAGAGAGAGGAAAGTAGAACATAAACATGTTTTTAATTATTTCAGACCACACTTCTGCAGTTCACTTTTTCACTAAAACTCTTCTGTATTTTAATTTCTAGTATGATTATTTCAAACATCAAAAATTATTTAATCATGCAAGTTACATTTTTTAATAAATCAGAACATTATTAGCTGCAGCTAATTATATCTGCTACAGGTGACGTATATTATTTTAAACAGTGCTTGTTAATGTTATCTCAATGTTTTTGACATTGCTTTTTGGTAATGCAAATGAGGGATGAGAGGTTTAAAGGGTGATGTGACATATTTGGATTTATCAGCTCCAATGCCTACGAATGCGGGTATTTTGGCTTTTTTTTTTTTTTTCAAAATCAGCTGGTTGTCAAAACCCAGCCTCAGTTATGACAAAAAGATGAAGTATTTGTCTATATATCATGGCCTATATTTGTATGTTTGCAAAGAGAACAACACACACAGGACTACAGTAACTTCATTTTAGCTTTGTGCTTTAAGTTGCTTTAGGTATTCATTAAATCATGCATCAAATACATTAAGGCCTACCATTGCCATGTGATACACAGAAGCAGTGTGACTATTAAGTACATCATCATCAAAAGCTGAGGGAGCAAAGTGTCTGTTTCTAACTAAACAAAGAAAACATTAGCAGAGGACCATGTACAGAGCCCTGAGGGACCTCCTGTTCTGTCTTCATCATAGACCTTGTACAATGTGCCATTTATTTTACTCAAAATGGAAACAGGGCAGTGGTTTAAAGCATGGGTTGAATATATAAATAAATAATAAATAATGTTGGTTTAAAGCTTACAGGTGCTTTTAATGAATGTGTTATTGCATGATTTATGTTATCCTCCCTGAGCGGGAGGCCACAAATGTGAAAATGCTGAAGTAGAAATACAAAAGTAAGTTTCACTTGTGTGTCCTTTCATTTGTTAATAGTAGGCCAGAATAACATTGATTTAGAAAACATTACTGTATAATTTCAAGATTAGCTCAAGACCTAGATAAGATTAAATCCAGGAGTGTCTGTATTATTTGTTTAAGTGAAGGAGTTTAAAAAGAGATTGCACAGAACACCACCTCTTATCTCTGCTTGGCCCCTTTGACGGGGGAGAGAGACAGAGTGTGAGAGAGATGCATAACTGCCTTGTCCTCCTCAAACTTTGCTGAGCGTTCAATGATCCCATTGTGCGCGAGGCCGATAGGCGTAGTTCAGAGTGCACGCTGGCCCAACAAACACTGATTGTTCAGTTAGAGGGGTCGAAAGAGGGTTGAATGAATACTTGTTTTTCAGTACACAAATAACCACTATGAACATTTATTTAATCTGCAGGCTGCAGACTTTGACAGACCCCCATCGCTGTGTCAGTGGCATAGACTGACCTCTGCCGCACACAATGCTGCACCAGAAATCTATATGACGTATATGTACATGTTATGACGTTCATTACCGTGCTCATTTAAAGGTCAAGTTATAGAGTGTTTCCTGCTACAGCTCATGGCAGGAAATGACTGATTTAACATCAGTGACCAAATTGAATTTGTTTTTCTCTCTTTTTTCAGTGTAAAAGAAGGTTTGAGAGAGACTGCAAAGAGGCAGACAGAGCACAGCAATACTTTGAGAAGATGGATGCTGACATTAACGTGACTAAGGCTGACGTGGAGAAGGTACGTATCATCTCACACCCGTGCAGCAGCCACCAATCACGCAAGCTCGTCCTGTAACCTCCATGCTTGACACAATTGCCTGGCCTTCGTCATCCTCCCACCTAACACCCTCCCCTTTCCTTACAGTTTTCTTAAATTATTATTTTCCCCTTCCATGCCCCCCAAGCCCTGTCTCCTCATTCCACTAAGCCTGAAAGACAGCAAAGATTGAGTGGCCATGTGTTTGATGCCCTGGACTGTGTGTAAAAGCTGGCATTGTCTCAGAAGCACAGTGATCTGCTGCTAAACAAAGCTGATAGCAGCAGTGAGTCCTCATTATCACTGTAGAGCAGACACTCTGCTGTGCTGTACAGGCCCTAGCAACAGAGAGGACTTTGTGTCCATGGTGGTATTTGTGTGTGTTTATGTGTGTTGTGGATTTTAGTTGGCTTTGCTTTTTCATTGTAAAGTATCTAAATATATAGTTTGGTCTTATAAGAAGAATCATGTTCTTCAACACGCAGCGATCATCTGATTCTTAGGACTGGCAGACACAGAGCCCCCTAGGCCTGTAGCTGATGTCATTTCCTGTTGTCATAACCAATTAAGAGAGCCCTCAAAATCCCAGCCTTTAACCCACACAGCTCCCACGCCCGCAAGGCATCATGGGTCAGCAGCGCATGCTCCTACTGCTTCATCAGCTGTTGGAGCAGAGCTCAGGCGCAGAGTTGACACAGTTCAGACCCGATTATTATGCAAATATAGGCTGGAATAAAGAGCCTTTCTGCACTCTGGACATACAGCCAAAGAGCTACAATAGGCTTAGGCTAACCACTGAACTCAACTGGAAAGACCCAGCACAGCAGCTCAAGAAACCAGTCTTGAAACAAGAGTGGTGTTGTGTCTGATGACAGTTCTTTCATTTATTGGAGCATGAAAGACTCATACATTACGCAGCATTCAGTGCTCTATTATTTTGCTCTCATTTAGTTAGTATCACTGTTTGTGTTTGTGCAAAGCTTTAATGTAAATGCCTCTTTAATATGCCTGATACCTCATAAATGTCACACCCAACCCTACAGGATAATTTCTGCTGACCTTTTTCTGGTGACTTTTAATCCCCATTCATGCCATCAAAATTCTACTTCAGGATGATCTGACAATAAGAATTTTATACAGAACAGCCACTTACTGTTAAGCAAAAAAGCACTAAAGTAAACTACCACATTTTACAATATATTTTTTTCTTTTTTATTTAAAGGAAAATTGAGTGTTCACATTACAGGGCTCAATGCTTAACTCTGATAATTTCCCCAGATTCGATGTTTTTGCCTAGACTATTCACATTAATGTTTGAAGTGACCCTTATCTGACATCAGTGTGAACAGATCTCTGGCCTGAAACGCCACCCATGTAAATGATAATGTCACACACATTTGCATTGAAACAGCAAAACAAAAAAAAACCCTGTCACATTTGCAAAACAGGCATTTGGGAAATAATGAATGACTTGTCGATGCAAGCTTCATCTCCTGTATGATTTTGCTGCAGAGGTTGAATGACAAGTGACAAATAACATATGTTAAGGATAAGGGTGAAAAGACAAAAGAGCACCAAAGCCATAGCTTTAGCTTTATTAGCAGCTACTCCTGGAGAGAGAGGTGTGGTTGTAGCCAGGAGAGGACTTAGGAGTGGAGGGGCTGTGATGTGTAGGGTTTCATTGAGGAACAGTTCCTCCAAAACAGGATGTCTGGGGCTACATTCTGGTATTGGCACATCACCACAACGTTGACAGGACTCAAAATGTACACCTACAAGTGAAGTACGAAAAACCATGGATGTATGGGCAAAACACATGAAGTCTAATATGACCATTCTCACAGCGGTCGAATGACAACTGATCAGATATGTATCGAACGTAGGACCACAAATGTAAGTGACCCTGATCTGATTGGACAAAACTGGATTTCTATGTCCACACTACTCTGAAAAATCTGATCTCTGTCAAGTGAGAGCCAAAAAAAAAATAGAATTTGGGTCACATTTGCTTGTAAAGTGAACATAGCCCTAATGTTACCAGTGTAGTCATTGTTACTATGGTTCAAAATAACTTTGCACTCATCACCATTTCCATAAAACTGGAGGTTATTTGGGAAGTTTTAGGAGACTCACTCAAGCCCTTGCTTTCCTAGTCTCTATAATAATGCTGGTGAAGTTATTATGACACATAGTGAGAATGGCCACAGTTGAACGAATAGGACTCAGCCTGAGAAATAATCAGTTAATTTCCTGTAAGGTTTTATTTTCTGACAACATAGCCCTTGATGCTTTTCAATATCTCTCTCTCCAATAGGCCTCTGATTTATCTTAGAACGAGTAGAGTTTTCTTGAAAGCAAAATATAAAGGTGACAGAATATTTACCTTATAATAACTCATTATGTGCATAAGCACAATGGAGTCTCTGCAAGTTTATTTTTAAGCTGTAGGGATATAGATGAAAGACTGTAATGAAAGCTGGAAATAAATCTCACTGTGTCAAGCATTTAAAAAATGGAAAGTGGCTATGTTAACAATATGAGAATTGTTAATGGGCTAAAACAAAACCATCTGTATCGTCCTTTTATTCAGAAACAGTCACTTAACACACCTTTGAAGCTCAAAGGCCACACAATAAGATGCTGTGGCAAACAGTACCATGTACCTTAATAGTCAGAATGAACATGTATGTTTTTCACCCTGCTTGCCAATGTGTAGATCACTGCTAAAATAATCGCTTTCTCATTTGCTATTCTTTTCTGTGTGGGTTTTTTGACTGTCCTCAGCTCTCTTTTTCAGCTACTCAGATTTCCATTGTTCAGATGTAAAACTTAATGCAAAAGACTGAATTGTATTGTATCAGACAGTCACTGTGGTAGATGATTGGATTTTTCTCCCACATTTTTTAAAAGTTCATTTGTGGTACCAATTCTATCCACTATGATTTTGTGACTAGAGTCTAGAAAATGTGTGTTAATGTGAGGATGTATGTAAGAAGAGAAAGGAAGTGTGTGTGTCTGTGTATTTTGTTTCTAGTGTCTGTCACTTGTGTCTGTCTGTGGTTTAGACACTTGACGCCTCATGACTTTTCCACGTGCTTTGAGTTAAAAGCTCCTTAGCTCAGTATCATGACGGCTATATAGGTGCTAGTGCACTTCTATCATTACATTTGCTGCATCATGTTTGAAAGTCAAATATATTTTGTCTTTTTTTGGTAATAAACAGATTTGATCATAAAACCAAGGCACAGGAAAGAACAGATCATGTGTCTCAGTGTGTAACTTTGTTTGCAGAGGCATGTTTTCTGTATTGTTCAGAAGGAATGACATGTCACAACCTCAGCCTAGTTTGTATTTGTGTTTGAGTCATAGGGGTGGAAGTAGATCTGAGTTGGACTGAACAGATGCATGATAGGCAAAGAAGAGAAGAAAGAAAAAAAAGGCTTTACACATATTTTAAGCATAGTTGTGTGTTTATGCTTGTGTCTGTGTACATTAGTACTTGTCAGTAACAGTAAAAAATAATTGAGTAGATATATTTTGACTCCAGGAGTTGCTTTCTTCTGTGATGTGTAATGCCAAAAAGCTGCTGTTTGCTGAACTGAGGTATTGTGGTTTTCTCTGCAGCTGGAGCAAACCTCTAAGTGTTCCCTCTCCTGCTCTGGCAAACAAATCCCCTCAATTTGGGGTTTGGATTCATGGCCCAGATATCCACAAAGCCTGTCAACAGTTCTTTGAGGGACCCCCGGCCCTCACACACACTCACAGACTTCCCTATTATGGAGATCCTCAGTCATAAAGAATTAGAAAAATAACACAGTGGCCTCCCTCCACCTCTCTCTTATGCCTCTACTAACACTAAGACTGCGGTTTACAATACCAGTATTTTAGTTGTAGTTGTATTTGCTTACCCTGATACCAGCTTCCCCTTTTGAGTGATGACACGCCTGGTGGTCCAGGAAGTGCATCTATGGCAACTTCTTATTTAGCTGGAAACGGCTAACAATCCTTTTTTTGTTTTGTTTGTGTGTGTTTGTATATCTATTTTTTGCCATGCCTTGAAGCGAAGTTCCCACAAGGTAGGTGCGGTGGAAAGAGCGGGTTATATCTGTGGGAACACACACTGTCTCGACTTGTGTCTCAACACACACACATGCTCTCCCACAGAGTCTGACACAGACCTCGACTGGGTCACTGTTAACACGGCTTGTCCTGTCTGACTGTGATCTGCTCCCCGTACAGTGGCTTGTCTCGCTGTCTTCTGCTTAACACTTTCACAGGTTTATATGTGTGATGTGAGAAAAAACATTTTTTTTGGATAGATAGATCTTTATAGAGATAAATACTAGGTATCAATGCATATATAAATACACACATGCGTATGTGTGACTGACTGAAAAAACAGGTAATTTCCAGAAAATGACAACAGGATGTGATGTTGCTGCAGGCACAGCAGCTTGTTACAAAGTTTCTTCCATGTTACCATGGCGATGATGTTTACCCCTCATCATTTCTAAACACATTCAGCATCACTTTGCATGCACCTACACCAATACAGCACAATATCCTTAATGCACACTTGCACGTAGATTTCAAACATCTGGACTTTCACATGTGCTTTTTAGCTTTTCTCTGGATTTCACATTCCTTTTTTATTTTTTTTTTTAAGGCTGTGACTATCATTTTCCGCCTGAGGTACTGGTACTGTGCTGGAAATAATGTACCTTTGTGTCTGACGAGTGTCTCCGCTCTGATGTCCTCCTTTCCTTCTAGTATGTCATCTATTACTTACCCACATGTGTGTGAGTGTGAGGGACTCGACTCTTGCCTCAGATTGGTGTGTGGGTGAAAACTGGATGAAGTCCTCGAAATGTTTCCCTCAGGACTATGACAGATCAGGGTTATGTTCCCTCCTCTGCCCTGCACAGTTTTACGGCTGCAGTTTTTCCCATGCATCTGCATTCAGTTGAATAAATGCAATCACAGGTTCAAAGGTGACTCTTTGTTATAGATGACCCAATGAAAACCGCTATGTATGTGCGGACAGGCCTCAGATCTCATGGAAAGAGGAAACAGATATGAGTACTTAGCTACACACACACATACAGTACAGGCCAAAAGTTTGGACACACCTTTTCATTCAATGCGTTTTCTTTATTTTCATGACTATTTACATTGTAGATTCTCACTGAAGGCATCAAAACTATGAATGAACACATGTGGAGTTATGTACTTAACAAAAAAAGGTGAAATAACTGAAAACATGTTTTATATTCTAGTTTCTTCAAAATAGCCACCCTTTGCTCTGATTACTGCTTTGCACACTCTTGGCATTCTCTCGATGAGCTTCAAGAGGTAGTCACCTGAAATGGTTTTCCAACAGTCTTGAAGGAGTTCCCAGAGGTGTTTAGCACTTGTTGGCCCCTTTGCCTTCACTCTGCGGTCCAGCTCACCCCAAACCATCTCGATTGGGTTCAGGTCCGGTGACTGTGGAGGCCAGGTCATCTGCCGCAGCACTCCATCACTCTCCTTCTTGGTCAAATAGCCCTTACACAGCCTGGAGGTGTGTTTGGGGTCATTGTCCTGTTGAAAAATAAATGATCGTCCAACTAAACGCAAACCGGATGGGATGGCATGTCGCTGCAGGATGCTGTGGTAGCCATGCTGGTTCAGTGTGCCTTCAATTTTGAATAAATCCCCAACAGTGTCACCAGCAAAACACCCCCACACCATCACACCTCCTCCTCCATGCTTCACAGTGGGAACCAGGCATGTGGAATCCATCCGTTCACCTTTTCTGCGTCTCACAAAGACACGGCGGTTGGAACCAAAGATCTCAAATTTGGACTCATCAGACCAAAGCACAGATTTCCACTGGTCTAATGTCCATTCCTTGTGTTTCTTGGCCCAAACAAATCTCTTCTGCTTGTTGCCTCTCCTTAGCAGTGGTTTCCTAGCAGCTATTTGACCATGAATGCCTGATTAGCGCAGTCTCCTCTTAACAGTTGTTCTAGAGATGGGTCTGCTGCTAGAACTCTGTGTGGCATTCATCTGGTCTCTGATCTGAGCTGCTGTTAACTTGCGATTTCTGAGACTGGTGACTCGGATGAACTTATCCTCAGAAGCAGAGGTGACTCTTGGTCTTCCTTTCCTGGGTCGGTCCTCATGTGTGCCAGTTTCGTTGTAGCGCTTGATGGTTTTTGCGACTCCACTTGGGGACACATTTAAAGTTTTTGCAATTTTCCGGACTGACTGACCTTCATTTCTTAAAGTAATGATGGCCACTCGTTTTTCTTTAGTTAGCTGATTGGTTCTTGCCATAATATGAATTTTAACAGTTGTCCAATAGGGCTGTCGGCTGTGTATTAACCTGACTTGTGCACAACACAACTGATGGTCCCAACCCCATTGATAAAGCAAGAAATTCCACTAATTAACCCTGATAAGGCACACCTGTGAAGTGGAAACCATTTCAGGTGACTACCTCTTGAAGCTCATCGAGAGAATGCCAAGAGTGTGCAAAGCAGTAATCAAAGCAAAGGGTGGCTATTTTGAAGAAACTAGAATATAAAACATGTTTTCAGTTATTTCACCTTTTTTTGTTAAGTACATAACTCCACATGTGTTCATTCATAGTTTTGATGCCTTCAGTGAGAATCTACAATGTAAATAGTCATGAAAATAAAGAAAACGCATTGAATGAGAAGGTGTGTCCAAACTTTTGGCCTGTACTGTACACACACACCCCACATGCTGTCTAGCTGAGATAATCTCATCTCCATCTGCTTGCCTTGGATCTGTAATAGGCTGCTCCTGCTGTGTTTCTGACTGCCTGCCTTGCCTCCCTGAGACTGAACTAGCTTAAAATAATCAACATTATCGACAGCAGAGATACGCCAGACTGGGTGGGCAATCAAAATCCAAATCCCTCCATTCTGTAGCCAGTGCAGGCTGTTGTTTCTCTTTTTATATGTTTGGTCTGGCCTACATAGTCTAATGCCAAAGGCTGTTGCTGCTGCCCAACTTGGATTTGCACCTGTGACCGCGCGTCTGCGACCTCTATGTTTATGTGCGTACATGTGCATGCATGAACACTTGTATGCACAAATGTGTCAACTCATGAAGATTTTGATGCTCTGGCTGTGTATGTGTGTGTGTGTGTGTGTGTGTGTGTGTGTGTGTGTGAGAGAGAGAGAGAGAGAGTGTAACCCATATGTCTGTGTTAATCAGGGGACACGGATGTTCATTGAGGAGAGCACGTCTCTGATGTGCATGTTTATGTGTTTTCTTCAGGCACGACAGCAAGCTCAGATGAGGCACCAGATGGCTGCTGACAGTAAGAGCGATTACTCCGCCTACCTGCAAAAGTTCAACCAGGAGCAGAATGAACATTACTACACAGTTATACCCAACATATTCCAGGTAAATGCACCACAACATGTGGCCTATTTCATCCGATTTGTCCATGTACGTAGTTGTTAAACAAACCCACAAATTTGGTTATACTTGAAATTTATTTAGGGCGCCCACCTAAATAGGTTTGCCTCCGCCCAGGCACTTTGTGTTTATCTTCTCTATCTTTCAAAACTCTCTGTGCAAATGAGGCTGAAAGTGCCGACTGATTGAAAAGCCTGCCAGAATGGTGCATTCATGTGCAATCATTAGTTAGCTTGTGAATTCAATGTTGTTTGGGCCCACCATCCCCACTCCCCTCTGGGTAGACAACTAAAAATAAATTCTCCACATGTGGGAAACACTGAGGATAACAAGCCGTCATTATGAACTGTGCAGTTATGTTGCACAAGAAATTTAGTGTTACATTTTTGACAGATTGTGAGCTTGGAATGACAGTGTTAGGAGGTTTTCCTCAGATTCATGACCTTTTTATCCACTTCACAGTTTTCACTTTTCTAGAGCCGTTTATTTTAAACAGCGTCAAACATTTAGAAACACGTAAAGTTCATAAGAGATTTCCCAGATGATGTGTCACATCTTTGATGCCTCAGTATCAAAAGACAGCTTGTTTAGACTGTTTGACTCCAATCACACTGTGTATCATATCATTAAGTTCTGCCCACTCCTATTCTGTGACACAAGCTTGTAAATCTTGGTTGTTTCTGTATAAATATTCCTGCATTTCTATGTAGAAACTTCAAGACATGGAGGAGAAAAGAATTGATAGGATAGGAGTGTGCATGAAGACGTTTGCAGACGTGGACCGCCAAGTGCTGCCCATCGTGGGAAAATGTTTAGACGGCATGACGAAAGCTGCGGAGTCCATCGAGCCCAAGACTGTGAGTATACAGAAATAAGACATACGTGCACACACACAACACCATATGGGATATATTTCTCACTCAGCCAGTGTGTCAGTCACACCCACACACTACCGATTAGGCTGTCATTTTAGCAACAAGTGTGCTGGTGTGTTGATACTCTTGGGGGGGCTTTTGAAAATTAAAACAGTCCACCTGTGAACAACAAAGTGGTTACAAAGTGGAAGCAAAGGAAGCGTGGCTGCAGTCTATTCAATTTGAAGTAATAGTTTGATATTTTCGGAAATACAAAGGTCCAGTGTGTAGGATTTAGGGGATCATATTGACAGAAATGCAATATATTATCATAAGTATGTTTTCTTTGGTGTCTAATCACCTGAAAATATAAATTGTTGTTTTTTTGTTATCTTAGAATAAGCCGTTCATATCTACATAGGGAGTGGGTCCTCATCCACAGAGATGGTCATGTTGCCTGTTGCACGCTTCTACAGTAGCCCAGAATGGGCAAACCAAACACTGGCTCTCGATAGGGCCATAGCCATTATCATGTAGGCCAGCATAGTTTGCATCCCCTTTGCGAGGAGCTGGACAAAGTCAGACAAACACAGATTTGTGACGTGAAACTGTTTGATTCAGTATTTTTACTGGTTTGAATCATCTGGTCCATTTGTTTTGGAGAGGAAGAGGCCTCTGTTGATAAATTGTTTCCCGGTAAAAACCTCCTGAGAGTTTTGAGCTTAAGTTATCAGAGAAATATGTTGAGCACACATTAGCAGGTGCTGGGCTGCAACAAGCTGAACAGCTTGAGAGAAACACTGATTTGTAACATGAAACTGCTTTAATCAGTGTTTTTACCAGTTTTACTCACCTCGTCTCACGCTTGGTACATGGGAGAAGTTTTAGCTGGTTGCAGTCTGCAGTCCTCACCCCTAGATGCCACTAAATCCTTCACACTGCTCCTTTAATGATGTAGAGTTAGATGAGAAGATTGACACCATTGTCTTGTCTGCACTGTAAATATATACTGTAAGCTGCTGGTTAGCTTTGCTCAGCATAAAGACCGGAAACAAGGGAAATAGCTAGCCTTGCTTGGTCCAAAGGCGACAAAATCAGCCTGTGGCCTTGTGTGTAACTTTGTTTAATGGACAGAAATGCGAGTGGTTTTCATCTTCTCATCTAACTCTCTGCCAGAAGGTGAATAAGGTTATTTTCAAAAACGTTAAACTGCTTCTTTTTAACACTTGTACCTGTTGTGGAAATTTGAGGAAGTTGAATCGCTTTGCTTCCTCTAGTCTAAACTGTCTGTTGATGAGCTCCTGAGAGCCTTTTTCTGTGCGTACACTATCATGAAGCTAAAATGCAGATGTTGGCTTAACTTCTGTCCCATGACTAATTATTATTTATTATTTGGATATTGAAATGGAAGGCAGCATTTGCGTACGTCAAAAAAAGAGGACAAGCAGTGTGATATATTGAGATGTCACAGGTTGGCTGTCTGCCGTATGACAAAAGCAAGACTATCCCCAGGGATCGTGTAGCATGTGTGTGTGTGTGTGTGTGTGTGTGTGTGTGTGTGTGTACGCCTAGCTGTTTGCATGGCTCAGCTCCAGGGAGATGACTCCAGCCTGTGACTGTCTGCTGCAGTAAACAGCGTCGGAGAATAATACATCACATGCTCCTTCCCTCTCTTTGTCCCTCTTCCTCTCGTAGTCTTCTCTCATGTATAGAGTGTGCAATCTTTGACCCCTGATCCTGAACTCCAACCAGACCTCCTGCCCTTATCAGTTAGGGTGATGCACACTGGACTTGATCAATGTGCTCCTTCCTGTGTCTGATGAGCCCGGCTGTGTCCCCGACCTGAGTGTGTTTGTCATAACTCTTGCCTGATAGATTTAGGTCTTTTCCTCTTTCTCCTGTGGCCCACAAACTAGATAACAACAGTCTCTCTCCCTCTCTTGTCATGACGCGCTCATGAACTGTTATCAGGCAAAGACTACTATAAACAAGAGAGTCACCAGACCCAGTATTGTGTTACATCTTATCTCCAGGCCTGCTGATTAGCTGGACAATCTAAACAAACATAAATCCAACCTTTTAAGTCATTGCTTTGCATTTTATGATCCTTCTGTTGGTTATGTAAATTAAAAAGTGGATAAAAATGTATCAAAGCAAAGGCTGTCACTGATTACTGCCACCACTCTCCCCCATTAGGACTCGAAGCAGGTGGTGGAGTCCTATAAGTCTGGGTTCGAGCCCCCAGGAGATGTGGAGTTTGAGGATTACGGCCAGGCCATGAAGAGGACGGCGTCTGACACCAGCCTGTCCAACTCCAGAGATGTCAAGGAGAAGCCCAAGGAGAAGAGCAAGGGCAAACTGTGGCCTTTCATTAAGAACAAGAACAAGGTAACACATAAATGCACACTTAACACGGCGCTCGAACGCACAACAGAGCCTCGCTGGTTTTAGTGCATTTCGTTTTACCTCATTTGGAGGTCATGTTGCACTGTGTGGGGTTTTTGTGGGGCGGGGTGGAGGGGCTTATAGGTTGTGTTATGTTGGTTTTGTCTAGTAATAGAAAATATATGTGTTCAGTGTCACATTTGTAATACCTGTCACATTTGTAGTACTGGTTTCATATTTAATTTAGTTTCATTTTGTGTAGATTCTTTGACTTTCACTGAGCTTAAGAAATTCGTTGCTAGTTCATGTTAGTATTGCCATTTTTGTTGTTATTATTTGCCACCCGTTTCCTCCTCCCTGGCGATCACCCTCACCGATTTTGGAACCTTCCTTCTTGTAACACACACTAATGCATTTCTACTGTCATCCTGTGGACGGACTCAGATATTAACTCGATCTGAAATAACAGTTTCCTTTGGCCGTTTTTTTTTTTTTTTTTTTTCCATTGACTGGTGATCAACTCTTGAGTAGCCTCCTTCAGTTTCCTGCTTCAACTTGAACAGCAAAACTGATCTCTGACTGTCTTATGGGCTGGTGGCACTGTCGGTATTGAATTAGAGCAGAGCATGAGTGAGTAATCGGGTGTGTGTGTGTGTGTGTGTGTGTGTGTGTGTGTGTGTGTGTGGGAGAGAAAGGCTGGAAGCAAGTGTGTGCAATGTCAGATGAGAAACCCCAGCGTACTGACTGTATGTGTACAGGAAACAATGTTTTAACTCACTGTATCCAAAAGCAAGACATACAGAACAGTATGTTTCTATTAATTGTGCTTGATGTACTCAGGATTAATTTTCTATAGAAGGTTTTTGGGAGCACAGACAGCCATACAGAGAGGTATTTCTATTTTACATGCACACATGCATGCAAGCATAACAGAAACATACTGATTTTAAGTTTTATAGAAACAGGGTTTTGGGTGGTTTCCCGTCTCTTTGCTTTTGAAAGGGGTTTCTGAATCACTTGCCCATGCATGCGCATCATGTGGTGTCTTAGAACTCATCTCCGCTTCATTCTGAAACTCCACAATTACTTGATGAATAATGCAGTCAGATGTTTGAGGACAGCGATAAGCAATTAGATTTCTCAGATGATGACCTCAAATTCAGCTGCTGATATCCTTGGGGAGGTTGTGAATTTCTCGTCCTAGCTGGCATGTGATGAGGTCGGGAAAGAGGGAATAAAAATGAGAAGGATTTCTAAAATGGAAGCCTGCATGCGCTTTGACTGAAACTCTTTGCTGTTTGCTTTGTTGCAGCCGCTTGCTTTAACACATTTTTCGCTTCCTACTCACTCTCGTTCTCTTCTTTTTAACTGTTTTTATGTTTTTATATGTTTGACTTTTTATTTTTTATTTTTTCAACAACATAACAACTGTTACACTAGGTCTGACGTGCCCTCGGTTGTCTTTTAATTTCTGTTTGGGTTTTCTGTTGTGTGTTTAATTTTTTAATATTTGTAGGAGGCTTATTTATTTCGTTTTGTGTTCCCTCCTCCTTTTTCCTCCTTCTGTCTTTTTTCGTTGGATTCTTGCCCCCTTCTTCTTCATCTTCTTCCATGTTTTTCCTCCTCCTCCGTCACGGCTCCCTCTCTTACTGGTAGCTTATGTCCCTGTTAACGTCCCCCCACCAGCCCCCACCTGCCCCCCCAGCCTCATCCCCGCCCTCACCCTCTGCTGTTCCCAACGACCCCCAGTCTCCCAAGCAGCACAAGGAGCCCCTCTCCCACCGCCTCAACGACTTCATGACCTCCAAACCCAAAATGCATTGCCTCCGGAGCCTGAGGCGAGGGGTAAGTGTGTGTGTCTGGCAAGCTTTGTGCACGTGTGTGTTTGTCTCTACACCTTTACCTGAGCTCTGTACCTGCTACACTGTATGAGTTAAGTGATATAAAGGTGGACTCTTTGGGTCTATTCTTTACACCTGTTTTGAAGGGCATTATGCCTACATGGTATCACAATATAACAGGTGATTGAACATTACCTCAGTAACGAGATGCATCTGCATGTAGGCAATGTGTCCTCAATTACGGATTAGTCACACTGGTCCATTACAGCTTTCATTTTTGCATTTTTCAGTGCAGAATTGCTTTTTAAATTGGTACTGTTATTACTATAATGGTATAATGTGTGACACCAGCAGTACAACAGGCCTTTCACCTTTACTCATACAGTGCTATTTGCTTCTCTAGCATGCTTCTGTAGCGCATAACTATGAATCCATCGTACTTGTCTGACTCACCAGCAGTCTCTCCATCATGTCCCTCTTCATATTAACTCTGTGCTCACTGTGACAGTCCCTCCTCTCACCCACCTTCCCCCTTTGACAGAAATGAGCAAGACGCCTGAGCGGTCTTGGCAGTAGCATGGAGACTGCAGTAGCTCCCTGCGCACTTCTGCAGTCTATGCTGGAGGCAGATTTGGTTTTTTTGCAAGTGATTTAAGGAAAAGAACATCAAAAAGAGGGCTAAAGATCACAATATGAACAAAGTAACGGGTTGTGGATATGGTAGCAGGCTGACTTCAGTCACCCTCCCCATGTAGAGGGAGAAGAGCAGAGTAATTTTAGACAGCTTCCCGGAGGGTGGCTTTATCAGCACCAGCCTGATGGGTCCTGGTGGGTGTCATCACCAGTTCCCGTTGTTGAGTCCAGTGTGTGTTGTAATGGAGTTGCTGGGCTGGGGCAGGTCCTAGCACGCCTTTCCGTAACGCACTTCACCCTTCAGTTCTCCCTGACCTCAGGAATGGGCGGTAACTCACGTGTTCCTTCCAGAGCCGATAAATATAGTTTTTTGTTTACGCTCATATTTTGAAAGGGCAGCAGTTACTCAAAGTAAAAACACTTGTATGAATCGGTTTTAACATGACGTCTGAAAAGGCACAAGAACAATACGGTTGCAACAGTGCAGTGTGTGTGCAAACATACCGTAGAGGAAATGATTGAAGGTCGGCAGAAAAAGGGGGAAGTGTGTATTTTTTCTAACGCTGGGCAGATTGAACAGGAAGTGCACGTTTCTGAAAGCGGAAGTGCTGAAACAGCTCTCAAGAAGAGCGATAAAAAAGAGTTGAATCAGATGCATTGTTTGTCGACCGTGGACAGATTAAAGAGATTGAAGTTTGACCTTACTGTAACATTTCATAGCACCAGGAAAGGGTTGAATGAAGTCAATGAGAGGTTAGAAACCGTATCAAAGCAGAAACCCCCCCCTAGAGATTCAAAGACTCCTCTTCATATCTCATGACAGTGCATTTAATTAATTTACTCACCTTTTCATGTCTCATGGCAGTAACATGTTTATGTTTTCCATGTATATAGATGTTTAATATAGTTTTACAATATGATTTCTCTCTGTTTGAAATAAATCCACCATATGTTATAGGTAACTAAAAGGCAATATAGGGCACAGGGTTAATCCAGTAAAATAACAACAAGTCTTTTCAGGACACCAGCCCTACTGCCACACTGACATTTTGGGCTAATGCCTCTGAACAGCTGCTGGTAGAGTGTCAGGGCAATTCCTCAGCTCTCGCACAAACAGGCCTGCACCCATCTGGTCAAACTAACCCAACTAGCAACACTTTATCACCAGTACGACAGTATCTACGCTCATTTTGAGAGGAATATTTTATCTTTAACAGGGTATCTGCAGGTTTGTAAAAGCCTTAAAGTGAATCTGTCAGTTTTACTTAAAAAAAAAAAAAAAGTCAGTCAAGAGACATTGCTGCACATTACTTATTTTCCTATAATTGAAAAGTAATGATGTTAATAAAAATGTAATAAAAGAATGAATCATCAGTCTTTTTTAGATCCTATTGATTTAATACATTTATCATAGAAGTTATTGTCATGTTCCATTGGAAAATACTGAAAAAAATAATATAATAACAAAAGTTTAGCTTATTTTGTCCCCATTGTACTTTAATATTTTTACCGATATGATACGGATGGGAATTGATGCATTTTATTGATACCCATGCCATTATCAGTTTGACTCGATTCTTACTTGATTCCTCTAGTGATTACTGATCAATTTTCTGTGTGGAATAAAAGTAGGCCTACACCCTTTGCTCACCCATTTTCCCACCCTGTGCAGCAAGTATGAAAAGGGGAGCTGATGGGTGAGTCAAGCCTGCTGTAAACTAAGAGCTGGCTGTAGCAACAGTCTGTCTGTCATCATTTGAAATGGATGAAATGAGAAAATATCTGTAAGGCATGATTTCATTTAGGCTTTCTTAGTCAAGTAAATATCTGCTAAGCCTGCCTGCTCAGTGCTAATGTTATTATAGCAGGATATTTGCCCTCAGTAACAGATGTGCTGCTTGGTTGGGAAGCAGTGGCACTTTTGGGAAAAGTTTCTAATACAAGGCTGTCCTGGACTTTAAGCCCATGGTGCTTAGAGAAATGCTTCAGTATGTTGCTGGTGTTTTTACCCTTACTTTAAATATAATTTTACAGACATTACAAGCTACACTGTTGTCATCTTTCTTAGTGAAACCACACCTTGGACTGTTTCTTCCTCTCTGTCATGACTCCATCTCGTTGCAATTTTCCAGAAGTTTTGCAATGCACAACTGTCAGAAAAACATGCCTGTATCAGTAAAAGGCATTGCTTATCTTGGAGGCATTTGATTCCAACTGATCAGACAATTTAAAACCGGTTATTAACTGGAACCAGTTCTCGATTCCCATCCCTAGATAAAATCATGAAAAAGGTATTAAATTATATGTGGTATTTAAAAAGCCTTAAAAAGTCTTAACTTCCTGCAGAAACCCTGTTTAAAGATTCAACAAAGCAAAAGCAAGATTTAAAACCAATATTCTTTTATATTCTGTGGTTACAACTGCAGGTAAATCAAGAAAAAAATATTTTATTCCTCTCCCACCTCCTGTAGGGGAACAGAGTATCACATTAGGGATTAGAGTACTTGTGCCAGTGGAGGTGGGGTGTTGTGTCTCACTGCACAGTGGAGGGATGTCTACCCCTGCAGGAGAGCCTTTGTGTGGTGCATATTAGCTGTCTAATCCATCCACAGTAACTGTGTATGTGTTTAGTGCGGGAGGTAAAAAAAAGAGACAGCGTATGTGTTTTTGGGAGTCAAATTAGGACAGTATACTTTATAAGACCTTTAAGACGTCACTGCTGTGTTCTGAGTTCTAATTGACAAAGCTGTGTTCTCTCTGACGACCACCACAGCAGCAATCCCCGCGCTCGCTCATTTGTCACAAAGAGCTTATGAAGAGGACTCTGGGTCGGCCCACATATGCTTTCGAAGCCAGGCAATATGTTGTAAGTGTGTGTGTGATGGGCATCAGTGAGTACCAGCGGTGTGTGTGTGTGTGTGTGGTGCAGGTGTTTCAAAGAAAGTGTGAATGAAAAATGATTGTGTGCGGATGTGTGTGATTAGTAAAAGCCATGTACAACACATGCAGTAGCCTTGTAATCATTTATTTTGTGACTCATTCAGTCTCTACAAGGAGATTATTTCGTCACAGTTAATGAGGCCAAATTTCCTCACAAAGGAGGCTGGTGTCTGTGCCTGGCTCTGTATTGATCACATGGCTCTGACTTGTGTAGAAACAGGACGAATGATCAGAGAAGATGATGACTTCATCCCACATCACATGTACCAGCTTGAGGTTTCTTGTTGCTCGTTGTTGTCCTGCAGCTGTTTCAGGCCCCCCCCCCCCCCCACCGAGCATCTACAAGGGGTCAATTCACAAAGTGTCACAAGCACCTGAGGATGTGGGGGATTGTTGGCTTGAGGATGAAACTCATTCATCCCTCCCAGCGATCACCCCCTCTTCGATGTTAAAGTCTGACTGTCAGGTGGATGTGACATTAGGCAAGGTGTTGGTCACACTTTGATTGTGGGTTTAGCCTACAGTACCCAGAATTCACCCCTCCAGGGCTTTCTTTGTGCTGGTGTGCCATGCTGCAGCAGTGTTCCCTGTCTGTAAGGACCATAATATATCTGTATATCTATGTCTGTCTGGGTGGTTGGAAAGAGTTCAGGTAGATCTGTGAACCAGGGCCTGTGTTTATCAAACTTCAACTACAATCATTCTTAAGAAAACTCAAAAGAGCCACTAAGGGAGTAAAAAAAAAAATGCTGAATGTGGGGAATAAAATGCATGTATCATGTGATTTACTCCTACTTACAGTATAGTGCAACTCACAAGTGATTGCATGCTTTTTCAGATGTGTGCTCAAAACAGAAATAGTCAGTTTAGAGGCAAATATTTACCCTGCATCTGTCCTGTTCATTCTTTTAAGAATCCATACATTTTACTCAGTGATATTTGTTCCCCACTAAAACATATGTAATTAAAATGTTTAAAGGTTATATTTATTTGTGAAATGGAAACAAAAAGAAAATGCAGCAGGAGAATATTCTGCTGTAACATCTGATCAAATGTTTAAAACAAATGCAAATAAACATGCCTACAATAAATATATGAATATAAAAGAATACCCTGTAAAGATAAAATAAAGCTTGTTACACATGTTTTTATTCATCATGACCAATGATATTTTGAACAGTCACCTCGCCAAATCATGTCCTCACTTTAAGGGCATTTTTAAGTTTTAAGAAACAGGAGATATAGCTTTTACTCTTAAACCTATATTATATAATTCTGGGGAAGTCTCAGTCAAAACAACAACAAAAGACAGAGCAAAGCCGCCATGGCAGTCACTTTGTCCTGATTCCTTCAGTGTTCATTGTTCAGGAGGTTTTTACTGGGAGCCGAAGTATCCGCAGAGGTCTCTCCCTCTCCACAACAAACAGACCAGGTGATTTAAACCAGTAAAAACATGTAATAAAGCAGTTTAAGTTAAAATTCAGTGTTTCTCCAATGCTGTTTTGGCTCGTCGCAGAAGGGCTGGCAGCCCAGCTCCTGCTAACGTGTGCTCACCTTTTTTGTCTGATAACTTCAGATCCACACATTCAGGAGGATTTTAACGGGAGCCAAATTATCCACAGAGGTCTCCTCCTTTCCAAAACAAACAGATCTGGTGATTTAAACACTGATAAACCCTGAATAAAACAGTTTCATGTTAAAACTCAGTGCTTTTCTGACAGTGTTTGGCTCAGGTTTTTTCTCTGATAACTTAAGATACAGCCATGTGATGGCTTAAAATTCTTCATCCGGTTAAAACATACAGTCAAAAACGACAAAGATCTTAAAAGTTTGTCCTAAAATTTTTTGCTTAAAATTGATTAAATTCCATTTTTGACAGTTTGTGGCAGACAGCCACAATCCTGATGCATGCGCAAAGAGGAGAAGACACCACTGACAGGCGATAGCGACCAAATGACACAGACCATATCCTGAATAAGAGTTACAGCATTATATAACATTGGTCTAGTCCTTTTTTAGACAAAAATGGTACATATGATATCTTAAAATGTGTTAGACGGAGTACAAGTGAAGGATTTTTACAGATATCTTTTACTTAATTTGAAAATTTCACCTCTGCATGCCTAGATTTTAAGCCAGAATTTCTTTTTTAACCAGGGTCAGTAGAAAGTGAAACATATGTGACCCACCAGAAACAGAAAAAGTGCCCTAACGAGATCCTAATTTAGTGTTTATGAATCCCTTTTATTTCTTATACTTTCACAGAACATAGCCTCGGTGATATCAGTGTGTAAGCGTAAATTTAATATTATCTTTGTGCTCTGTAAGTAAAGCTTCACACACAAGACAATAATATAGCATTAAGGAGGTGAGAGGGAGGATCACAAGGCGTCATAGCGAACACCGTAACAGGCCATTCCAGGTGGATGACTCGATTAGTGGACTAAAGTGAGTGGAGCTCCTCAGTGCACCAGTCTGTGAGCCTCTAACAGGATTACAAGTCATCTGCTCCAGCTCTACCAGCCAACAGTTGTTAACCTGCCCTCAACTCTGTGCTTTGTTTTCAAAACATAACCAAAAAAATCACTCAGCAAATGATTCTGAATACGCTCTTACAACACTTTCTTTTGTTCTTTTTACTCTATTTGCCTCTTAGTTCATGATTACTCTTTTTTTTTGTATTTTCACTCAACCACTTTTGTTTGAGGTACATGTATCTATAAAGAGAGCTTGATATGTGTACACAAGTGAGTTTGAAGGTATCCTTCCAGTTTGTCTGTGCTCAGTATCTGCCTCCATGTCAACGTATGGATCTGCTGATGTGTTTATGCTTTTGGCGCCCTCTGCTGTCAGTTGCGTGTCATTGTAGTGGCAGCAGAGCAGGATCAAGAAGTAAAGGGTACATCTGCCTCTGTTGCAGTCACCACCCCTCTACTTCTTTTTTTTTTTTTACATTTATTTTCATCTGTCTTTCCTTAATTTTTTCCCCATTCTTTACTTCATGCTTGTGCAGTAGGTTGGCTTTTTGCCAACTTATTTTTCATTTTTCATTAATCCATTATATTAGAAATGGTAAACTTCACCACATTGGAAAAGAGTGTGTGTGTGTATGTGTGTGTGTGGGGAGTTATTGCTGAAATTATTGCTGAAAAGGATTTTTGGGGGGGGGGGGCGGAAGACACACACAACTTCCATGCTTGCAGTTGCAAATCCTTCAGCATCTAAGCACTGTACCCTCTTTTCAGTGGTGAAGTTTGGCAAAAACACGTGTAAACAATATTTGTTTTTAAGAAAAATGAAACAAATGGCCGCAATATTCTGCTGATGTTGACTGTGTTCTCTTTCTCTCTCCTGCTCCTCGCCATTTCTTTCTCCTCTCCCCCCCCATGAAGCTTTCTCTCAAGCTGGTAAGCATGACCGTGTAACCTCACGACCGTAGCGGCATGACCATAGCACGCATGTCACGTCCTCCCAAGTAACACAATGTTAATAACGTTCTGTACGCCGTGTGCTCTTTTTTTTTTTAATTTTTGGATTTAAGTTGATAATTTAATCTTTGCTGTGGCACAGCGATGGACCCCAGACTCATGTCGTTGTCTCATATGTATGTTATTTTTGTTGTCTGTTTTTTTGTGTTGTGGTTGTGTTTTCGTCGTGTCTCTCCCAAACTGTGTCTGTGGTCTCTGTGGTGCAGATCACACTCAATTCCCACGTCCGGAATCTCATTGAGGTGATCAGATTTACTCTATGTTTTGCCTGTCTGTCTCTTAGTCTGTCTGGTAGTCCCTCTCGTCTCGACAAGTTGTATGTCCTTGTAACAAACACTAATCTGATCTTATGTAATAATTGCTCACTCGTGCTCACACTGCATGCTAATCTTTTATTTGTATACAGTAAAATGCTGTTGTGTAAAACTAACACACTGTGAGAAAACTGTATAATTGCAGGCCTCCACAGAATATCAACTCGCATTAATGTTTTCCTCAGAACAAGACACACTTTAAGGATTAAAGGAATAGTTTAACATTTTGGGAAATAAACATTATCACTTTCAAGGTTGATACTACTCATACCTGTGCACTAAACATGAAGCTATAGCCACCAGATGCTTAGCTTAGCTTAGCTTAGCTTAGCATTAACACTGGAAATGGGGAAACAGCTAGCTAGTCATTACCAAGTGGTCAAACACTGATGCTATGGGTTTGGTAAATATTTGTATTGCATTACAGATAGGACACATCTTTTTTAGTTAACATCTGTTTTAGTGAAAAACAAACAATCTTAAAAAGCCAGGCTTTTCAGGTATCTGAAATTGCATCATATCTTATGATATGAAATATGCCAAAGCTTGATTAAGATATTTTGTGTTTTTTTGAGGTCGATGCATATGCAGCCTGTTTTTGCAGTCTCTTTTATTGTTGGTTGCCCAGCAGTCTCTTTGAATACTGCCAGATATATAATTTCCTGATAATGGAAATTCACCATGATTCAATAAAGTCTCCTCCAAAAAGTGTAAAAATGTGCCCATCAGATCCTCCAAAATGATCTAACATGTTAAATATTGTTACTTTACAATATTTAATTTCAGTGTCTGCTTCCCTCCTTTTATATTTCTTAAGATACAGATTTTAAAATGAACTTAGCTACTTTTGAAAATTTTAAACTCAAAAATTATAAATTGGCAAATTTGATTATTTTAGCATTTTATTTTTAGTCAGTTTTTGTTGTCATTATGCTTCTATTTTTCCTTACATTTTATTTATTTGTTGTGCAATGATGTATTTTTATGTTATTTTTATATTATGAAATATATTTTCTACAACTTTTATAATGAAAATCTGGAGCATACAGTACAGGCCAAAAGTTTGGACACACCTTCTCATTCAATGCGTTTTCTTTATTTTCATGACTATTTACATTGTAGATTCTCACTGAAGGCATCAAAACTATGAATGAACACATGTGGAGTTATGTACTTAACAAAAAAAGGTGAAATAACTGAAAACATGTTTTATATTCTAGTTTCTTCAAAATAGCCACCCTTTGCTCTGATTACTGCTTTGCACACTCTTGGCATTCTCTCAATGAGCTTCAAGAGGTAGTCACCTGAAATGGTTTTCCAACAGTCTTGAAGGAGTTCCCAGAGGTGTTTAGCACTTGTTGGCCCCTTTGCCTTCACTCTGCGGTCCAGCTCACCCCAAACCATCTCTATTGGGTTCAGGTCCGGTGACTGTGGAGGCCAGGTCATCTGCAGCAGCACTCCATCACTCTCCTTCTTGGTCAAATAGCCCTTACACAGCCTGGAGGTGTGTTTGGGGTCATTGTCCTGTTGAAAAATAAATGATCGTCCAACTAAACGCAAACCGGATGGGATGGCATGTCGCTGCAGGATGCTGTGGTAGCCATGCTGGTTCAGTGTGCCTTCAATTTTGAATAAATCCCCAACAGTGTCACCAGCAAAACACCCCCACACCATCACACCTCCTCCTCCATGCTTCACAGTGGGAACCAGGCATGTGGAATCCATCCGTTCACCTTTTCTGCGTCTCACAAAGACACGGCGGTTGGAACCAAAGATCTCAAATTTGGACTCATCAGACCAAAGCACAGATTTCCACTGGTCTAATGTCCATTCCTTGTGTTTCTTGGCCCAAACAAATCTCTTCTGCTTGTTGCCTCTCCTTAGCAGTGGTTTCCTAGCAGCTATTTGACCATGAAGGCCTGATTGGCGCAGTCTCCTCTTAACAGTTGTTCTAGAGATGGGTCTGCTGCTAGAACTCTGTGTGGCATTCATCTGGTCTCTGATCTGAGCTGCTGTTAACTTGCGATTTCTGAGGCTGGTGACTCGGATGAACTTATCCTCAGAAGCAGAGGTGACTCTTGGTCTTCCTTTCCTGGGTCGGTCCTCATGTGTGCCAGTTTCGTTGTAGCGCTTGATGGTTTTTGTGACTCCACTTGGGGACACATTTAAAGTTTTTGCAATTTTCCGGACTGACTGACCTTCATTTCTTAAAGTAATGATGGCCACTCGTTTTTCTTTAGTTAGCTGATTGGTTCTTGCCATAATATGAATTTTAACAGTTGTCCAATAGGGCTGTCGGCTGTGTATTAACCTGACTTGTGCACAACACAACTGATGGTCCCAACCCCATTGATAAAGCAAGAAATTCCACTAATTAACCCTGATAAGGCACACCTGTGAAGTGGAAACCATTTCAGGTGACTACCTCTTGAAGCTCATGGAGAGAATGCCAAGAGTGTGCAAAGCAGTAATCAGAGCAAAGGGTGGCTATTTTGAAGAAACTAGAATATAAAACATGTTTTCAGTTATTTCACCTTTTTTTGTTAAGTACATAACTCCACATGTGTTCATTCATAGTTTTGATGCCTTCAGTGAGAATCTACAATGTAAATAGTCATGAAAATAAAGAAAATGCATTGAATGAGAAGGTGTGTCCAAACTTTTGGCCTGTACTGTACATACTCCATGTAGTAAATGTATTCAATAAAGCTGAATAAAAGGCATGCAAATTCTGACCGTAAGATTTATGCTCTTTAAAGAGCCCTATCTAACAATGTGTATTTGTCATAAAATAATTCCAACAATGGAATGACAGTGTCCAATGCATGTACACGACTTTGTGCTCACAATCCCACAATGCATTGCATCACATTTTAGAGATATAAAAATGACCAATACACCTGTCAGATTTGATGCAAAATGATGATAATAAACAAGTGTCCAATATCCCAATTTACTGCTCACAGCTGAGTCAGTTCCTGAGGAAGTGAGCAGGAAATTACTGCTCCCGGTTCATCTTTGGACAGAGCCAGGCTGGCCGTTTCCCTCTGTTTCCAGTTGTTATGCTAAGCTAACCACCAGCTGGCTTCATATTTTAGGGTACAGACTCCAGAGTGTCTCTCTGCAAGAAAACAAATATATAAAGCATATTTCCCAAAATGTTGAACTGAGCTGACTTTGTGATGATAATTAAATCAGTATGTATACCTAATTACATAGGCTACAGAACAATCAAGTAGTAAATTCTTATTCATCCTAAATTTATCACACTACAAACAACAAATGACTTCATGTCTGCCCGTAGTTTTAGTTTGGTCTTACATTTTACCTAGATACAGTCATAGTGTACTTATCTGTCTTGGGGTACATAGAGAATGTAAACACTAATAATGTAGACAGGAGCATGTCTGCATGATGATTGACACGATCTTTGTTATATTGCATGTCCGGTAAGTGTTGCATGCCGATACAGGGAAAAAGGGTAAGGTTGCCATGGAAACCTAGCTGCTTGTGTTTGACCCGGCTCACGTGCAGTGAAGTTGGTAGCTCCAGCAGTCATATATCCTGTGGTGCCGCTGTGACTCATCTCAATGAGATCCAATCAGGCCTTGACCTATTCAGTCAGTGCACATTTTTCTTATTTGATAGACTAAAGCAACACACATTCTTATTTTCCTTTTTTTCACTTAAAAACTCAATGACAGACCATAGTATGGAGCCCAAAGTGTTCAATATTAGAGGGATACTTCACCCTTGGTTATCAGTTACTCACCCTGTGTTCATTTAATTCCTAAAGAAATCATTTTTTCTCATATCCCTCCACAGTGAAATAAGAGTCATAACATGGAGAAAATTCTTGATGAATTGAAAACATTCAATCAAAACATCTGTTACCAAACTCTCATACACCTCATGCAGTATAATCCAGGTCTCATTTATCCAGTCATTTGCTTCATACTTCCTGAACAGACAGCCCTCTCCAACAGGGCATTGACTGAAAGGGAAACTTGTCTATACTCTCTTCAAAGCCAGACTCCATTGCCCAAAAACAGTAATTTCACCTCGCTGAATATGGGAGTTGCTGGTCAACAGTTGCCTTGATTGGTAGTTTGTATTACTGTGTGACTTTGGTGAATCTGAACTAACCCTTCGAAACACTAAAGTCACACAATAGCACAAACAAACTAACTGATTGAGGCAGTGGTAGACCAGCAGCTCCTGTGTTCAGACAGGTAAAATTACTACTTTTGTCAATGGAGTCTGGCTTTGAAGAGAGTATAGACAAGTTTCACTCTTAGTTTAGTTTCCATGTTGGAAAAAGTTTTCTGTTTTGGAAGTACTGAGCATTCGACTGGATTAATGAGGCTTGGATTATACTGCACGAGCTGTGTGAGAGTTTGTAAACAGATGTTTAGATATAGTTTTGCTGTTGTTAAACACAAATGTGTATGACTTCAGTTCATCAAGAATTTTCTCTGTCGTTTGGATTCTTCGTTAATCGGAGGCATGCGAGAAAAAAATTCAGTGTAACACAGGGTGAGTAACTGATACATAAATGCTCATTTGTAGGGTGAAGTATTCCTTAAAGTTGATAAATATTTCATAATGTCTCAATGCAAGATAAACTATTTAAGCTCAGCTTATATTGATATGTCATCATTATTATTTCTACAGTACCAGGGTTTTATTGGAGGTCAATTAGCCACATTAGTAGAGTGGCTTTAGGATTGGCAATATTTGTCGACCACTGTGGAAAATTATTTTACAGAAAAACAATGAAGCCCTCTTACTGAAGTGATGCCCTGACATTTTACCTAGCGCCACCATCAGGTCAAAAAATGTGATTTGTCCAGTACACTGGTTCATGACCAGACACCTGCAAAATGAATGACATTCACACCAACTTCAGCTGATCTTTGTGTTAAGTAATAATCAGCAATCAATCAAAGGTTAGCATGCTAACACACTAAACTGAGATGATGAACATGGTTAACATTATACTTGCTAAACATCCACATTAGCATTGTCATTGTGAACATGTTAGCATGCTGATGTTAGCATTTAGCTCAAAGCATGTTGGTTTATCAAGCAGTTGCCAAGTCTGCTGGGAGGCTTGAGGCATGTCATTGGCTGGGTACAAAATATGGAAAAATTACATAATGAAAAAACAGACTTTGGAGAAAATGCATTTTGAAATAAATTCAAATCTTGAATGAAATAAGAATGAACTCTGTCAATACAAGAAAAAGGGCTCTGCTTCACAATAATGAGTTGGTTTTCATTTCTATGATTTACTTAATGTATTAATTTGATTATTTATTCAATAATAATGTATTGATTTGAGTTTTTAACTATTTTGGGCTCCATACAGCCCTGCTAGCAGCATGTCAAGGCAACTTTCAGAATACTGATACATAAAGTCCACAGAAAGTTTGAGAGACTGCTGAGCAGTATGACTCATCAGTCCAGTGTTACAGACTGGAAGCCTCCTCATCAGGAAATATGACCCATGGCCAGCCAGAAAACCTTTCACTCTCACACAACCTCAAGAACACACAGTCCTGTCAGAGAATAGCCCCATTAGCCAACACACCCTGAAACACTATATGAGCAAAATAGGATGCAGCTAGTACTTTATTACATTTCCGATGTATCCACAGAGAGCAGTAGATTAGACACGGTGACTGAATAGGTGAAAGGCCTCAAGTCTATACACAGACAAACATCCCAACTCTTAGTGAGTGTGTGTTAGAGAGCGGCTGCAGTATCTCCTTCAGGTGAATTATGTGGTTAGAACATAACAAGAGCTCCATTTGTGGAGCTGTTATCCATTTATCCCTGAGTGGTTCACTGGGTTTACAACAAAGGGAGATACTGCACCTAAGTAGGAAAGACCCCTGTCAAACAGCAACACAACTGTTATGACTTATAAAAGTTGCATTTCTTCCTCTTATGGTTTCTCTCCATCTCTTTCCCATTTTCTTCTGCCTCTCCTCCTTCCTTTTGCTCTTTCAGGGCTCCGGACCAGAGGACTTCAGCCACCTGCCACCAGAACAGAGGAGGAAGAAGCTGCAGGGCAAGATAGATGAACTCAATAAGGACATTCAAAAAGAGATGGACCAGAGGTATTGTTTTTTGTTTTCAATTCAGAGCTTTTCCCACCTGAATATGACAAGCAATGTTTGTGTTTACCTTGGTTACACCTAACAAAGATTTGTTCTGACTCCCAGGGATGCTCTAACTAAGATGAAAGACGTGTACGTGAAGAACCCTCAGATGGGAGATCCGGCCAGTGTAGACCCTCGGCTATCAGAAATAGGCCAGAACATCGAGAAACTTCAGTTTGAAGTGCAGAAATTTGAGGTTAGTCCGCGGTGCCAGTCTTGAGCTCTCATTTCTCTGTGAGTGTTAGTGTTGGCGAAGCTTTCTTGTTTGGTTTATCCGAGACACTAAATAATGAGGAGTTCAAACACACGTCTCCAAGCTGGGGTGGTTCCAAAGAAGTCTGCCGCTCATCCATATTAGGAGAAGATGTGATGCAGCTGGAGGGGCTGGCCACATGTTGGAGCTCTGCACAGGGAGAGAGGAGTCCCAGAACAATGGCCTAGTTTAACCTTGTAAAATAAATGGCAAAAGAAGTGCAGAGTAAGGCGGAGGTGTTCCTCCTGTGAAGGTTTGTGCCAAATGTAAAGGCCATCTGATTCACCAACAACTAAAATTCCACACTAAGAGTTGCTCTGTAAGAAAGAAGGTGAGCTTCAGGCAACACATGCATAATTATTGTGTGTGTTTCAGGGCTGGTTAGCAGAGGTGGAGGAAAGGATGCCATCCAAGAGCGATACACACCGGAGAAGTGGACTCTATGAGACCCAGAACAACACAACAGTGAGCAACAACTGTGCGCAGGACAGAGAGAGGTATGGTATACTCTGACAAACTTCCAAACATCATGAAACATCAGTCCCACACCCCTGAGTCGTTACACATCTTATTTCTTCGGAGGAAAACTATGTATGTTTTCACAGTATATTTACTGTGTGTGTGTTGGCCTTTGAGCAGCCCGGATGGCAGCTACACAGAGGAGCAGAATTCAGAGACTCAGGTCAAAGCAAACATCAACCCCATCCCCCCCACCTCCACCACGCCAGAGTTTGACGATGAGTTTGACGATGAGGAGACCCTGCCCACCATCGGCACCTGCAAAGCCTTGTATCCATTTGAAGGTAACAAGAGTCAAACCCTCTTACAACTCAAGACTAACTCCTGCTGACTTTAAAGATATCAAAGTACATGTGCGCTGTATTTCTGTGGCGCAGAGTGGAGGAATTCGATGACTCTGAATGAGGAGGAGGAAGGGTGTGACCTTTCTGTGGAAATGTGTGGAGCAGAGCAGATAGAAATACACTCATTTCCTCGGTACACTATTTTCAAAATCGGCCTTGGCAAATTCTCAAAGTGTGTGCAGATCAGAAGTGGTAAAGAACCCCGATCGATCCGTGGGATGATAAATGCTGGTGACCTCCTTTGGAGAGATGTGATGAATTCTCCACAAAAAAGGGGTCAGTTTTCTGAGTTAAAACGGGAGATTCCTTCCTCACTATGAGAGGAGAAAGACAACACAATTATAAATCAACGATACCAGATATTTAATGTAAAAAATAATGGCAGACAGCGTTAATTTGCTCTGACTTTGAGATATTAGAATTGCACACTACTGACGGCTATGGAAGACCTTTGCATCTTCTTAAGGATTATAGTGAAGAAGGCAATGATACATTTTTGCAGGTTCTTTTTTGGAGGACAAAAAAATAACTGTGACTATCAGTAAATAAATATGTAGATAGATAAAAAATAAATATGAAAAAATAGATATGTAGATAAATGAAAAAAATAATGTAAAAATAAATAAATGTATAAATAAATACAGGATTAAATAAATGAATAAATACATAAATAAACAAATATATATGTAGGAATAAAAAATACATAGATATGGAAATAAACATTATAAATGTATCATAAATACAAGATTAAATAAATAAATGTTAAAATAAATATTGAAGTAAATACATAAAGAAATACAGAATAATAAAAAATCATGACTAAAATAAATAAATATATTTTTGAAATTTATTTCTATATTTTTATACAACTACATTGTATCATTTGAAACGTGCAATCCTACAGTTGCTCATTCAAGATTAAAAATGAGCAGTCATTCTCCTAGCTGCTGCAGTACTCATAAATAATATGTTTTTTTAATATATATATATGTATGTATATATATGTATATATATATATATATATATATATATATATATATACACATATATATATATATTTGGAGAGATTAAATTACGTGTCAGTAAGTAGTAAGACTGATTGTGAGCATGTGGTAGATTGGTGTTAAAAAAAGTTGTGACTTCCTTCCAGGGAAGGAGATGGACGGCAGGCTAAGTTTGCGGGTTGATGTTCTGCTTCATATTTAAAGATTTGTGGTGTATGTGCAGGTTAGCTGACTCGCTCTGTAGGCTAATGCAGCTCAATGACTCACACTTGTGAAGTTGCAGTATTATGATTATATTTTCGTACCACACATCAGCTGGTTTGGCTTCCTCTTGGTTTTCAGAAAATTTCTTTACAAATAAGACTCACATCTACATAAAATTATTTCCAGGTAGTTCGCAGAGGAAAGATAAAAACTGATCTTGCCTTTTGTCCTATGTGTCCCTCCTCGCACAGGTCATAATGAAGGCACCATCTCAGTGGCAGAGGGCGAGCTGTTGTACGTCATAGAAGAGGACAAAGGAGACGGCTGGACACGAGTGCGCAGGAACGAGGACGAGGAGGGATACGTCCCCACATCCTACGTCGAGGTCTTTTTGGAAACAAATGCCAAAGGTGCTATGACATACATTTAACTCAGCAAGTGTGTTTTTGTCACTGCGAGTCAATAAGTTTCCGTCACTGCTACATGAGTGGGGCAAGTGTTGGAGATTAAAGATTGTTACTGGTAGCTCAGATAAGAGAATACCCTCCCTTTCTCACACACACACACACACACACACTTCGTGTCTGTCCCGGAGTGACGCACCAATCAGATTTGTCCATTGTGCCTCATGACAGTTGGGACAGTTGTGGCTGATAGTGTGAGTGTGTGTCACTGTACACTGTTACTGAGCTCTGAACAAAACATTTGGAAAGAAATAACACTGAATGCGAGCTGAGCCACGCGGGTGTTGTGTACAAGGAGTGTGTGAAAGGAAGCTTGTTGTTCCTCACCTCCCATTCACTGCAGTGCCACCTAGTGGTCATAGAAAATAAAACATGACACCCTCAGTCAAAGCTTAGCATGATGGGACAAATCACCCACTGACAGTGATCACATGTACATTTCAAATACACAGTACTTGATTTTTATACATATAGATATATATATATATATATATATGTATATATATATATGTATATATATAGTGTTTTTGTTAAGATTTCAGATTACAGCCACTCAAATTAACATGCTTTTAATTAAGAGTCACAAACTCAGAAGAGTCAGTATGGTTGTAAATCAGCTGAGTGAATGTATGCAGCATCAGAAGTGACGATGACCATCAAGTGAAAGGTCCTGTGTTTTGGTCACTTGTTGTACCCTCAAAGGAAAGCATGCTCGATGTGCAATCATGCAGATGTAATTTAAATCAGCTGTAAAATGTGAATACATATTAAAAGATATTTTTGTAGGCTAAACAGAAAAAAAAAAAAAAACAGAAAAAATGTGCCCCTTCTCAAATGTTGCATGCTGTAGATTAATCATAGTGCTGTTACAACATGAGGAAGTTGTGAAAGTACCCCTGGTTAGGAGTCATTTTGTAAAAGTATTGACGAAATCAAACTAATTTTCCTCTTAGAATGTGCTTTCTTTTCTTTTTTAATCCACCTTTTTTAATTGATAGTGTTGGGCTGTTCTGGTCCTTTTTCTCCAGGCCAGTGGTAAAGGAATAAAGGATTGAGAATTAGCTGTACTAAGCTATATGGTGAGACTGGGCTGAGATATGGAGCTGGTCGTGACTTTAAAGCTTTGTGGTCTCTTGCGGCCACTCTGTGAATCGTGCACTTACTGTAAAAGCATGGTGTGTATGGCCTCTGTGTCATTTCACCTCACTGCTCCAATAACATTCTGCGCTACTTCTCAAGATTGGCACTGACACAGAAACCACCTCTTTCATAACTCATCACACAAGCCTTTGTTAAACTTCCTTTCATACTTTTTAATCAGCTTCGGTGGCTTGTTACTGGCACAGCATGGGGTTCTTATGTGCAGGATGTCACTTCATGTCAGAGCTGTAAATACACATTTCATGTCTCTGTAATTTTGTTATTGAAGAGCATTTGAAATGTGTCGCATGCTGCTGCATTTGTGCTGATCATGACCTGGTTTCAGCATGTTGTGACACGGTGAAGTGAGTGCATTGTAACATGCATTCAAGACAGATGAAAACTGAAGTGGAAGAAGCTGAAAGGTTTTTAGTTACACAGATACATGTTTGGGTTATGGAGGTCTTTCATACATTACATTCATGCTGACATCACAGTATAGTCTGTCAGTTTGAAGTAGTTTCATATATGCAATGACTTCTCTCTTCCTCCTCTCCATATCTGAATATTTGGGTTGCTGTCGATTTTCCTTTAAAGCTATCTAACTTTTCTTTTTGTCATTTTTTTTTTTTGTTTGTTTGTTCGTATTTTCTTTTTTTTTTTTTGAATTGCAGATTCCTAAAAGTGTGAGGCTGGCTGAGGAATGGCAGGGCAAGCAGCCTCGGAGAAACCACCATGTTCCTCACGTGCTCACAGTCAGAAAGTGACAGATGACCCCGAATCTATAAAGAGAAAGACGGCCGATTTAGTACGCATCTCAATTTCCAAACCATTACAAAAACTTATCGGCAGCGCTGTGCTTCCCCCGCAGAACTCTGCGACGTGAAGCCACGATAAGAGAAATCCATCTAAATTATAGAGCTCATAACCTTTTCCATTCTTAACACCCATACAGCAGTCACAACCACAGTATCCAATTTGCTTTGTGTTGTTTTCAGCAAAGCTTTGCTTCTTAATGTAACTAACTCCGCTTGCACCACGCGCGGTCATGAACGTGGCTGTTGGCTTCCTCGCTCTGAACGTCCCCCCCCTACCCCCTGGCTCTGCCACTTCTCTTTCTCCTTACCTTTGCCCCCATTGCACACACACACATGGCAGAAGGTGTGGTCAGAGACAGGACGGAGACCAGCGGGAGCCTTACGGACACGAACACCTTCATCAAGCGGTGTGTATGTGTGTGAGTCATGAACTCCTCACTCACTCTCTGACTCAAAAAAAAAACAAACACCCAGGGCTTATCTACCTTCATCTGGGGCTTTAAATATCTCACCCTCCCACTAAAGCTCCATATTTGCAGGTTTCAGAAGAAGTAAAGGTGCTAATCATCTATCTGTGTGTTCTGTACTTCTGGTTTACGTTCTGTGTTTGTCTGAGCTGAATGCTTGTACGTATGTCCTGTTCTAAAGGTGTTGTAATGTCGCATTCTCTCCACACCACCCCGATCACCCCTACATATCCAGGAGCAACTGGGGGGAAAATGGATCGTTCACCATTTCATTCTACACTTCCTGTCTTGTCACTGGTGTCTCCTCCTCTCTCTGACCACACCCTCCCTCACCTCCACAGCCCTTGTCCCAATGCGGCTCAGGCTATCCCTTCTTGGCTGCTTTGAGCGGAGTGCCCCCCCCCCCCCCCCCCTTTTTTTTTTTTTTTTTGCAACAGGGGGCCTCTCAGCGTTGTGGTGTGCTGCATGCTTGCCCTGTCTTCCTCCTTGCCCCTCTGCTGGCAACCTGGAGTAGGTGGTCGGGGTGTTGGGTCAGCTTACGCCCCCTCCTTGCCTCCAGCCTTTCTGTTCAGTTAACCCTCATTGCCTGGTCGTACTGTTTTGAATTAACCTGAATGCTACTGTTTGGGTTCGGTGCCTGTGGTTCCTTTTTTTTATTTAATATATCTCTTTTCTTTTGGTTCAGAAAGCATGTTTTTTAACAGCGAGCGAGTGATCTCCTCCCAGTGTTCCCCAGTTTACTCTCAAAAGCTGTCAGTAAAGGACGGTAGGGACCCGAAACGTTGCTTTCTGAATGATCTTATGCATAGCTAGGTCATGGATGTCTTGTGCATTTGTTTTACTGTAAGTACACAGTACGGTATGTTTGTAAAAAAAAACTGTTAGTATTGTTATGTTTTGATCAGAGTGTCTAACGCAAGTTGTTGTTAGTTTACAGTTAATCAGCCTTGTGGAAATGTCTCCGCTCGGTCCAAGCAACCCAAAAATACAACCTATGAAGATATGATTTACACCTGATGTTAACTGTCTACTGTATATGAAAATATACTGTGATCCATATTTTCCTGTGAGTTTGTGACTGAATTGTGACCCAGAATCACCTGTTTTTGGGCCTTAACTCAAAAGGATAATGTCAGCTGTGGTATGATGGAAGAATTAAGATGTGATTATCTCAAAAAAGTTTGGGGGCAAATTTCAGAGTTTTTATAATCATACAATATGTCCACTGCCCCCCCCCCCCCCCTTCTGCTCAATGGCACATAATGTACGTGATTTTAACTTTTTTTTTGTTTTATATTTGATGATGATGAATTCAGCTTTTTGTTTTTGTTTTTTTTGTTTTTGTTTTTTTTTTTTAAGCTGGAAGTCTATGATGTAGCTTATTCTGCCTGAATGGGACTAAAATCCCTGCAAACTGCAAATATGAGTAACAATGAAATTGTTTTGAATGAAGCCATTCTCATAGATTCATCTGATGCAGCATGTTACGAACACTTCTCAAACGCAGGAGTGACGAACATATTGACCATCTGGACTCTTGATGGAAGGAATGATCAAATCTCTGCTGAATGAAGCCTAAAAGTACCATGTTTGCTTTTCCACCACCCGTCGCCCGATATGTCGAGATATGAAACAAGCCACTTTTGTTCATTACATTTTTTTGTTTTCAGTGATGAATCTGATGAGGCCCAGTTCACCGCTTTGAGCGCAGCAGTAGCTTTATAGTAGCCATCTGCCTGCCAGTGCTCTGCAGTCAGACCACCACAAACCTTTGAGTCGATGCCCCAGAATAACCTGCCTGTACAGCGGAAATGGCACGTTGGAATTAGAGAGAATATATATGAATATATAAATAAAGTTTAAAAAGGAAAACATCTATTTTAACTATTGAGGGTCTTACCATTACTTTATCTGCTTTGCAAGGTAAGACTTTTTTTCCTTTGTAAGGTCTACCAAATGGTGTGTTTTTGCACTTTTTCGTTTGTGTTCCATTTGGTAGCCCATGCTTGTGTTTTGGAGCACTGAATACTTTGTATTGTGTTTACCGTGCCAATTAAATATGCCTGGAAAGTTAATGATGTGGTGTTGTGGCTTTGTTTTCCTTCTCTTGGGAATTTAGATACAATCAAGAAGAGCCACAAACCCATGCTATCAATCATCACCAACAACAACTGCGAGCGCAATTATCCACAGTTATTAATTCTGTGTTTATGAGAACGCACTGTTGATGTTTGCAGACTGATCAAGTCTGGAGATAACGATTTGTGATTTAATTAAATGGAGATTACTCTTAACACAAATAACCCACCTGTATCTGCTCTTTCGGTCTCTCCTGTATACGTGTTGAAAACCAGGCTGCAATTAAAAATTCTTTTCATTATCCATTAAACTGTCAGTTATTTTCAATTGTTTGCTTTATGAATAGGAGGCCTGCATGTCCTTAGAAAGTCTGAAATCCAGTCTTCTAAATCAGACCAAGTCATTAAATAGTCCCTTTCAATTTGAATTTGTGAAGTCTTAATTGCTACCAACATTTTATCTAATTTCATTTTTCCATCTTTTAATTTATTTTTGTCAAAATGAGTCAAGCTCTGCTGTGTGAAAGTCCACATTTCTGTTGTCACAAATCTTTAACCTACCACTAAGCCTAATATTGTCTTACTTTATACTTGCACTTACCTGTTGGCAAACTTCAGATTAACTCAACTGATTAAAATACAACTATTTCTATTTAAACCTTTAAAGACTATAGACTACTAAAGTATATACTTACTGAAATGCTTGAATAAAAACCTGTAGCTACGCTGTACAGAATACACATTTAAGTTCTGAGAGCACAAGGTGATGTCTTCAATGGTCATTTTTGTCCAACCAACAGTCAAAAACCACAAGATAGTTTAAAATAAGATGAGAAGCTGCAAACGTCAATATTTGAGATGCTGGAGGCGGAAAAGATTTTCCCTTTCTGCTTGAATGATCAGTAATTAATCAATTATCAAAATGGTTGCCTGTTCAACTTCTGTTATACAACTACTAATGCCAATAAACTGAATAACTGGCTGATTATTTCAGCTCTAGCCATATGCACACAGCCTCAGCAAGAACATAGGTTATTTAAATATATACACCTGGGGTGTCGGTAACGTAGTGGATAGTGCCGGCGCCCCATGTACAGAGGCGATGCTTCACTGCAGCGGTCGCAGGTTCGATTCTGGCTTGCAACCCTTTGCTGCATGTCACCCCCCCCCCCCCCCTCTCTCTCTCTCTCTCTCTCTCTCTCTCTCTCTCTCTCTCTCTCTCTCTCTCTCCCCATTTCACACTGTCCTGTCAATTAAAGGCAAAAAGCCCAAAAAATAATCTTATATATATGTATAAGATTATTTCATTCATCATATGAATGGCAGGTATGTGTATATATATATGTATATATATATATATGTATGTATATATACCTGCCATTCATATGATGAAATGGGTTAAAAAAAAAAAAAGTATGGATGGGCCTACCAGGAACAGGAATTTAAAAAATGGGGATCGCACACCTCCAGAATGCAGAAAAGTTAGTTTATTTTGTCATCTTTTCAATACAGAAAAAAGCTCAACACAGAGTGCTTTCGGCTGTCCAGCCTTCCTCAGTGTGTGAGTTCATGTTCATTGTGCCTCTACCTACCGGGAACAGGCCCAGTCCAAAGTGTCAGGGCCCTCTGGCCTTCACCTGTAAACTGTCACTCAAATTAACATGTAACAACCAGAAAGAGACTCAAAATGATCACAAAGAGACACAATAAGATCACAAAGAGATGCAAGGGAACAGCCAAGAGACACAAACTTAGTATAAAAGGGGCAAAACTACCACGAAGAGACAAAAAATGACTTAACAAGAGAGACAAAACAGCCAAAAAAGACACAAAATGACTTCAAAGAGACACAAAACAACCAAAAAAGCAATAAATGATTTCAAAAAGAAACAATGACTACAAAAAGACACAAAACAAACAACAAAAAAAAAACAGAACGATGCTAAAGAGACACAAAATTGAATACAAAGACACACAAAACAGTCACAATGAGACAAATTTATGACAGACACAAAACGACTAAAAAAGGCACTAAATGACTTTGTAGAGACACAAAACAACCCCCAAAAATGGAATAAATGACTTTGAAGAGACACAAAATGAATACAGAGAGGCACAAAACAGTTACAGGGAGACACAAAATTTCTATGAAGAGACCCAAAACAACCAAGAAAGACTCAAAGTGACTTCAAAGAAACACAAAACAAAAACAGGAAAGTAAAAAGTGACTTTGAAGAGACACAAAACAACAACAAAAAAAATACTTAAAACTTAAAACACTTACATGAGACACAAGATGACCACAAAGAGACAAATCAAAAAAAAAAGAAAAAAGGAAAAAATAGAGACAAAACCAGTAGCCTACCAAGTCGGTGTGTCTGGATCCCTTGAAGGAGAGGTAAAGGGGCCTTTTGCATATCAGTACCTGGGGACCCACTGTCTCATAATCATAACCTGATTTTAAATTTCAAGTGGTCACTAGCTTACCTAATTATTTTACTTATTAGCTGTCATTAGCAGATCAGAAAAAGCATAAATCAAATAACAGTCTACATCTACTGTATGGAGCTGCAACACAGTCTTGAAAAAAACATCTCACTGCAATCAAATTGTATTACAGCCTACTGTTTGGGGACAATGTGGTTATGGAAGGTTTTGTAAACAAAAACAACATTTTCAAACTCTAAACGGTCATCAATGCTGTTTATGGGTTTCATTTTGAAGGTTTTTTACCAACATGATTTGAGTGCAGTTCCCCCTGTTGGCCATCAGATGGTAGTCATGTTCCACCAAAAGTTCTTTCTGTGGCAACTTCAAAGTATCCAAGAGTGCTTTTCTTCCTATTCCCCCCCCCCCCCTCTTTTTTATTGCACTGTTTTTCAGTGACAATGCAGCGTTTTCTCTGGGACTAACATGAAAAAACTAGCAGAGGTGTTGAATTATGCAAACTGCACCTCAGAAGAGGCTCTCATCTGTATTTGGATTCCTCTTTATTTCAGCCTCCCTGTTGGCATTTAATTCATCTCTCAGACTCAGTAGAGGTCTCCCTCAAGGTGTCTTTCTTACACATATTGTCATTATTCTCCTAGCCGCTCTGCTGATTGCATTTGACCATCAGACAACGCAGCAGTCACATGTATTGATCTGGCCCGCAGACAGATCTGGATTGCCAATTGATTCTGGCCCACTGAGCTGCAGCTGCGATCAGTCCCAGTTGCCCCACGGAAATATGCAGGCACATGCTGTGTAGCAGATGCAGCACTCACCTCCTCCAACACACTTTCAAACAGCCTAATTGGCCTTTGCTCCCTGGGACCCGACAAGCTGCACTGTGCTGTGGCTCGAAATGGCTAAAGAAAATGAATTGCTTCAGTGAATCCTGTGGGGCGAGCGAGTTTCCCTTTCCAACATGATTCAGAGCTATTTCCACTTTGCTTTCTTAATTGGTTTATTTGGCAAAGACGGTCTACTCATCAATTTACATTATTCGCAGGAGTTAGCCTAGAATGGCAAATTTTCATCTGTAGTCCCCAGCCTCTTGTTAAAAATAGCTAGGGTAAAATGAATATTTAAACTTCATGAATACAGTTTGCAGTATTTAAGCTTTATGAAGACATTTGCAAGCATGTACCTCATCTCTGAAGGCATGGAAGTGCTGAAATAGACACCAAAGAGATGAAACACACCAGCAGAGATCAGTGAGAGGCTGGGAAAATACAAAACATTACTGTAACAAGCTGGCATATAAAATTAAATTAAGATGGCAGAATAAATAGAAAGAACTACAGCCGATGGTGGAAGAAGAACTCAACCTTTCTACTTGAGTTAAAGTAGTAATACAACAGTGCATAAATACTTTTTACTAGTAAAAGTCCTGCATTCAAAATACTACTAAAGCAAAAGAAGTACTCAGCTTCCAATCTGATTCAGTGTCTGTGGGCCAGTACCCCATCTTGTAACCCACTAGACTCAGATCATCCACAACCAGACACCACAGGAAACCCAGAACTTGTGTGTCCGTACCTTAATAGGTCAGTGCCAAGTTTGGTCAAAAGCCTCACTGTGGATCTGACTTGACTCTGAAAGGATGCTCTATCTGTTTGTGATGTTGGGAATTTGGACCTAAGGTTTACGCCTTGAGCTCTTTGTCACATTTGTTGGGTCATTCCTGAAGAGTTTTTGCAGTGTCACATGAGCGTTATTCTGCTAGGGGGGTCAAGGTCATCGTGGAGTACTGTTGCCAGGAGGGGTTGTACTTAACCTGTAATGGTGTTTGGGTGGGTGGTGCATGTCAAGTGGCATCCACATGAATGCCAGGACCCAAGGTTTCCTAGCAGAACATTGCTTTGTAACGAACGTTATTCACTTCATCTGTCAGTGGTTTAAATGTTGTGGCTGATCAGTGTATAGTAACTAAAATTAAAGGCAGTGTATAAGACTAGTGGCATCTAGTGGTGAGGTTGCAGATTGCAACCAACTGAAATGTCTTCGGTGTGCCAAAGTTGTAAGAAAACTGCGGTGGCCAACACGAAAATGCAAATGGCCCTGTCTAGAACCAGTGTTTGGTTGGTCTGTTCTGAGCTACTGTAGAAACAACATGGTGGACTCTGTGGAAAAGGGCCTGCTTGCAATTTGTGTTTCCGAGGATGGCGAAGGCATGACCCACCCTACTCTTCCTCTGACTAGCTAGTACTTGTTGCCTTTGTTGGTTGGGTTGGTTAGGTTTTGGCAAGGAGAGTGGGATTGGTTAGGGTTATGGTAAGAATGTAAGGGTAAGCCAATCAGAGGCACAATAAGGCAGAGTAGGGTGGGTCACGCCTTTGCTATCCTAGGAAACAGAAAAATCACAGCCTACTCTGTATGTAGATATAAACAGCTCATTCTATCTCTGATTCTTAGTTTCAGATGATTAGAAATTTAAGAAAACACAGTTATAAATATTATATTCAGCTTTTGCCAGTATATCCCCCTGAATCCTACACACTGAAGAAATGAAG